CCTCCTGCTTGTGGTCCCTCTCTCACTGTGTCTCTCTGTCAAATAAATAAATAAAATCTTTAAAAAAAAATAAAAAATGTTTTGAAGCAAAAAAATGTAATTGAAGCATAATTTCCATTCAGGAATTTCACTTTTAAGAATATATCTTGACTGGGGCGCCTGGGTGGCTCAGTTGTTAAGCATCTGCCTTCGGCTCGGGTCATGATCCCACGGTCCTGGGATCGAGCCCCACATCAGGCTCTCTGCTCTGCAGGAAGCCTGCTTCTGCCTCTCCCACTCCCCCTGCTTGTGTTCCCTCTCCCACTGTGTCTCTGTCAAATAAATAAATAAAAAATCTTAAAAATATATATATATCTTGATTAATTTTGAAAAATACATATACAGTTTTGTGACCACTATTACCATCAAGATGTGAAATATTTGTATCACCCCAAAATCTTCCTTCATGCAAATTCCTCTCCGAAACCCCAGCCTTAGGAACCACTGACTTATTTTTTTAGAATGTCAAATGAATGGAATCATTTAATATGTGGTCTTTCTTTTTTTCAGATATTTTCATTTGCATAATGATTTTGAGATTCAGTCATGTTCCTCATCTCTTCCTTTTATATAAAGCCAAGTAGTATTTTAGTTTTTTGTATGTGCTACAGTTTGTTCATCCATTAATCAGTTCATGGACAGCATTTCCAAGTTTTTGGCTATTGTGCATAAAACTGCCGTGAGTATTTCAACAGGTGTTTGGAAGGCGACATTTTAACTTGTGTAAACGCGTAGGAGGAGATTGCTGTGTCCTGTAGCATGTGTATCTTTACCTGTAGAGGAAACTGCCAAATTGCTTTCTAAAGTGGCTGTACCAGTGTGCACTCTGGCCAGCAGTGCCTGGGAGTTCTAGTTGTTACCCGTCCTCATCAGTGCTTTGTATCATCAGTCTTTTTAATTTTAGCGATTCTAGCAGGTGTATAGGTACTGTTTTGTAGCTTTAAGTGGCATCGCCAGAATGACTAATGATCCTGAGCATCTTTTCATATGTTCATTGGTCATTCATAGGTCTTTGGTTATTTTTCTTTTTGTTTTAAGATTTTATTTATCTGTTTGACAGAGAGAGACACAGCGAGAGAGGGAACACAAGCAGGGGGAGTGGGTGAGGGAAAAGCAGGCTTCCCGCTGAGCAGGGAGCCCGATGCGGGGCTCGATCCCAGAACCCTGGGATCCTGACCTGAGCCGAAGGCAGACGCCTAACCCACTGAGCCACCCAGGCGCCCCTTGAGATTTATTTATTTGTCAGAGAGAATGAGCACAAGCAGGGGGAGCGGCAGGCAGAGGCAGAAGCAGGCTCCCTGCCAAACAAGGAGCCCGATGCGGGGCTCGATCCCAGGACCCCTGGGACCATGACCTGAGCCGAAGGCAGACGCTTAACCAACTGAGCTACTCAGGAGTCCTTGCCACATTTTTCTTTTTCTTTTTTTTAAGATTTTATTTATTTGACAGAGAGAGACACGTCGAGAGAGGGAACACAAGCAGGGGGAGTGGGAGAGGGAGAAGCAGGCTTCCCTCCGAGCGGGGAGCCCGACGCGGGGCTCGATCCCAGGACCCCGAGATCATGACCTGAGCCGAAGGCAGACGCTTAACGACTGAGCCACGCAGGCGCCCCAGCGCAGATTCTTAATGCTAGTTCAGTCCTGGCTCCATGGTGACCTGTCAGGACTTGCATGCCTCCCATGATGAGGAGCTCACTATCTGTGTCACCAACACCTGTGACTGGAAACAAGTTTTCCTTCTGCTATAAGTCAAAATATGCCTCCTTAAACCTCCCTCAGGATCACCTGTAAAAATACAGTCCTCTCCTATACAAAAGCCCTTCAGCCACTGTGCCATTTCTCAAAGTACCAGAAATCACCAGGAATGCTTATTATTCAGAATACACATCCCTAGGTCTCTGCCCAGACCTGCTGCATCAAACCATCTGGGATGGGGACTGAGAATCATTAATTTCCAAATGAGTTTCTTTTTTTTTTTTTTTTAAGATTTTATTTATTTATTTGACAGAGAGACACAGCGAGAGAGGGAACACAAGCAGGGGGAGTGGGAGAGAGAGAAGCAGGCTTCCCGCTGAGCAGGGAGCCCGACGCGGGGCTCGATCCCAGGACCCCGGGATCATGACCTGAGCCAAAGGCAGACGCTTAACGACTGAGCCACCCAGGTGCCCCAGTCTTTGGTTATTTCATCAAATTCTTTGCCCATTTAAAATTTTTTTCCTAACATGATTTGTAAGGATTTGTTTAGTTAAGGGCGCAAATAAATAAAATCTTAAAAAAAAAAGAATTTTAAAACAAAAGTATGCTTTGAGTAATAGAGGTTGAGCACTTTAAAGAACCATGGAAGACCCCTTCAATGTAGTAAGAAAACTGAAGGGCAGAGAAGTCCAATGACGAACCCAAGCCCATACTCAAGGGCAGACCCTGTCTATTTCTCCTAACTTGTCTGATTACTGTCCATTATGCTATTTAAAAAAGGCCTGCCAAGTTGGCATTGGGAATGTCATTATTTTCAAAAACCATAGTTCAATATTGATTATCTTTGCTTTCTTTAGGCATGGGTTATTTAGTATTTCAGAACTCAATTTTCAAGCATATCTTTAGTTTTTTTTCAGATATTTTCTGTTACTAATCTCCATCCTAATTGCATTCTTTATTTCATTCTATGCAGTTAAAGAGGGCGTTTTTTAAAATGATTTTATTTGGGGGCGCCTAGGTGGTTCAGTCGTTGGGCGTCTGCCTTCGGCTCAGGTCATGATCCCAGGGTCCTGGGATCGAGCCCCGCATCGGGCTCCCTGCTTCGCGGGAAGCCTGCTTCTCCCTCTCCCACTCCCCCTGCTTGTGTTCCCTCTCTCGCTGTGTCTCTCTCTGTCAAATAAATAAAAAATCTTAAAAAAAAAAAAAAAAGAATTTTATACAAATTTTAGGGGCACCTGTGTAGCTCAGTCGGTTAAGCATCTGACTTCGGCTCACGGTCCTGGGATTGAGCCCTGTGTCTGGCTCCATGCTCAGCATGGAGTCTGCTTGTCCATCTCCTTTTCCCTCTCCCCCTCCCCCTCCCCATGCTCTCTCTCTCTCAAATAAAATTTTTAAAAATTGTATACAAATTTTACAGGGCCCCTGGGTGGCTCAGATGGTTAAGCATCTGCCTTCAGCTCAGGTCATGATCCCAGAGTCCTGGGATCGAGCCCCGCATCGGGCTCCCTGCTCGGCGGGAAGCCTGCTTTTCCCTCTCACTCTGCCTGCTGCTTCCCCTGCTTATACACACTCTCTCTCTGTCAAAAATAAATAAAATCTAGAAAAAAATCGTATACAAATTTTAAAGTATGTCTTCCAGTTGTTTTCTTCCTTTTATCTTTTTTTTCCAATACAAATACACATTTCTGTGTTTTTGTGTCATAATTATTAGATATAGGGGTGCCTGGGTGACTTAGTTGGTTAAGCGTACAACTCTTGATTTTGGCTTCATGATCTCAGGGTTGAGAGATTGAGCTCAGTGCAGAATCTGCTTGAAATTCTCTCCTCCCTCTGCCCCACTCCCACCCCCCATCCCCACTCGCTCTGCCTCTCAAATAAATAAAATCTTTAAAAATAATTACAAGATGTATATTTCTCAAACTTTTATTTATGTAACATCAGAGTATTGTGGGATATCTTTCAACCCACCAAAAATAACTGATTACTAATTCAACCATTTATTCCATATTCATTTCATGTGATGGCTGGGATATTTGGGTTCAAATGCATCTTCCTATTTTGTTCTTATCTTTGCTTCAGTTCTGTTTGTTATACTTTCCTTTAAAAATTTGTATGGAGGGGCGCCTGGGTGGCTCAGTCGTTAGGCCTCTGCCTTTGGCTCAGGTCATGGTCCCAGGGTCCTGGGATCGAGCCCCGCATCGGGCTCCCTGCTCGGCGGGGAGCCTGCTTCGCCCTCTCCCACTCCCCCTGCTTGTGTTCCCTCTCTCGCTGTGTCTCTCTTTGTCAAATAAATAAAATCTTAAAAAAAAAAATTTAATCTCTACACTCAACCGGGGGCTCAAACTCAGGACCCCCAGATCAAGAGTCACACACTCTATGGAGTGAGTCAGCCAGGTGCCCCCAAAGATACTGTATTTTTTAAAAAGATTTACTCGGGGCGCCTGGGTGGCTCAGTCGGTTAAGCGGCTGCCTTCGCCTCAGGTCATGGTCCCAGGGTCCTGGGATCGAGCCCCGCGTCGGGCTCCCTGCTCGGCGGGAAGCCCGCTTCTCCCTCTCCCGCTCCCCCCGGTTGTGTTCCCTCTCTCACTGTCTCTCTCTCTCTGTTAAATAAATAAAATCTTAAAAAAAAAAAAAAGCTATAAACGAAAACTTAAAAAAAAGAAAGAACTAAATAAGCCAAATAGTTCAAGTCTGTGCTTTCATGTGAAATGTTTAATCAATACCTGTGAGGCTACTTTCTGGTCAAGAAGTCATTGTAGACCGTTTCGCTAATCACGGATCCTGCAAAGAGGCAACCCCAGCAGGGCGTGCTGGGGCCAACTCCTAGTTACCGAATGAGAACTAACCACGTGAGAGGCACCTAGCGCCCGTTGTAGTCTCGGTGCAGCCACGGTTCCCAGACCTGGGAGCCCCAGCAGCGGGATCCCTTCCCGCAGCGTGCGCCCCCTGCGCAGGGCCCCGCACAGCGGGTCGGCGCGGGCCGCCGAGGCCCCCCGGTGCTGCGACGCCGGGCTCCGGGGGGCGGGGCTTCACGCCTCGCCCGCGGGAATTGGGGCGCTTTTCTTTTCGCGGAACTCGGGGCCCTGCTTCCCCGCGCGATCCGGCGGACCCTCGTCGTTGCCATGCAGACGGCCTGGCGCTCGCGCCTGCGCGCGGGCGCGCTCCCACTACGTTACCCAGAAGCGGGCGCTGTGCGCTTCCGCCCCGAGCGACGGGCCGCGGACCGCCGGGAGGGGCGTTTCCTGCGGCCGGGGCGGGACTTCCGGCCGCGGCGCGGGGGCGCATCCCTCGGTGAGCGGCGGCTGGTCGGGCCGCGCCCACGTGGCCTGGAGCGCGCGCCGGGCCCCTGCGGGCCGCGCCGGGCGGGGGACTGACGTGGCGGGACCGCCTCCGCGCCCCGGGCGAGCCGTGACGCCCCGGCGTCGGCCCCATCTCCCGAGACCGTGCCCGGCGGTGGGACGGGCGCCGCCGGCACTGCACCTCTTCCGAGGTCCCCGCGCTCCGCCGCCCAGGCCCCCGACGGCGGCGGCCGGGGCCCGGTGAGCATCTCACACCGTCTTAAAGCGAGGCTCGGAGCGCGACACGCAGCCGCAGGCGACGCCGCCCAAGCTGAGCCCTCGGGACCCACCCTGGTCGCCCGCCTCTCGGGCCCTGCTCAGCCCCGCCGGACCCCTGGCGTGGCGGGGGCGGCAGCACGGATGAATACGGCGCAGGTGGGTGGAGGGTCACCCAGCCCCCCCAGCGCCCCCGCCCCGCCACGTAGCAGCCTCGTGGTCACCGTTCCCCCTTGCGGCGGGTGGTGGTGCTGGGACTGTTGCCTCCCATTTTCTTGGTCGCGGAGTCCCGGGGGAGGTCCCTTCTGGCCCAGCATCCTGAGCCCGGGTCAGATGCTACATGGCTGTGTTCCCGTTCAGGGCGGCCAGTGGGAGGCTGACCGAGTCACGGGAACAGGCATGTGCCAACAACACCCGGAGGTGAGGTTGAGTTGGGAGTGAACAGGGTCTCCACTGCGTCTCAAGGGGACAGAGAGCAGTGGAATGGCAGCCCCGGACGCGGGGCCTCTCTTCCGAAAGTTTGGAGCCGAGGGCGGAGGTGGCTTGACACAGATTTCGTTCAGCAGGCTTCCCCTGGCTACAGAATGGAGACTGGAAGTGAGGGAGGAGGTAGGGAGCCTCGGGAGGAATGTGACCTGCGAGCTTTAAGGCCCTAGGACTGGGGGCTTACGGAAGAAGGCTGAGCCCAAGTTTGCTTGTGTCTGGGGGGCATGGTCTGAAGGCACCGGGAGGGCTGGCCAGCTAGAGAGTCTGGTGCCCTTCATGGAGGACCCACAGCTTACACAGTGTTTATCTGCCCACCTGCCTGGCTCTGGGCCACACACAGTGATCAGAGAGACATGAGGAGAGAGCAGGCACTGGTGGTGCCAAGCCTGGTATCTGCTCTGAGGGGGGAGGCGAGGAGGAGAGGGACCAGGGCTGGTTGTGTGAGTGGATAGACTGGAGACCCCTGTGGCCTGTGGGCTCAACTGTCCCCCGTCGTGACAGGGCTGTGTGACCTTCGAGGATGTGTTCGTGTACTTCTCCCGGGAGGAGTGGGAGCTCCTTGAGGAAGCTCAGAGACTCCTGTACCGTGATGTGATGCTGGAGAACTTTGCGCTTGTGTCCTCACTGGGTAAGGCCCTGCTTTAGTTACCTGTTGCTACATGGCAAATTATCCCGAAGCTTCGTGGGATGAAGACAGACACTTACTATCTCAGTCTCTGTGGGTCAAGAATCAGGCATATCTTACTTGGGTACGTCTAGGCTCAAGGTCTTTCGTAACCTTGCTGTCAAGCTGTCCAACTTTGCTGTCTCATCTGAAGGCTCAACTGGAGGTGAATCTCCTTTCAAGACCATGCACCTGAGCAGGAGCCTGTTGGACTAATTAGTCGTTTTCTTGCTGGCTTTTGGCCAGAGCCCTCCCTGAGGCTCTTGCCATGTTGTCTTCTCCATAAGCAGATCACAACAAGGCAGCTGGTTTCCACCAGCATGAGCAAGAGACAGCATCCAGCGTGGAAGCTGGTATTTTCGTAATTTATTCTCAGAAGTGACATCCTGTCATTTTTGCCATATTCTGCATTTTAAAAAGAAGTTTTAGGTTCAGCCCACATTCAGCTGGAAGGACTTACAAGGACATGGATACCAGAGGATAGGTATGCGTCCCAGTTTCCTGGGCTGCGTTTTGTTCTTCCCCTTTTCTCCCAAAGGGCGGCCGTCGGTCTGACAGTACCGTCGTGGCATGACCCTTTCCTTGGCTTCCTGGAGGAGGTGCTGTGGGTCCTAGGGCTGCACAGTGGGCACTGGCTCCTCCTCTGCAGCAGCCCCAACCTCTCCTCTCCCAGAGCTTTGAAATGAAGGATTTGGGGGTCAGGAGTCTGGGGTCTGCCCAACAGATCCCAGATGGCCTGGCCACACCTTGACTGGGTGTCTGTCCAAACCCCTGGTCTCTGCCCACATTCTTACCTCTTCTTCTAATTGACTTTTCCTGGGGCCTGAGTGTTCCAGGAATTGCAGGCACCGACGTGGTCATTCCTTGTGAAGAACAGTGAGCTGTTCCTGCAAACACCTTTCTAAGATTCTTTTCTAAATATTTAATCTTCTTTTCTGTGGAGAGCATTGCTCTGGGGTGCTGCCAGCCACTCAGCAGCTCTTCTTTCCCCTTAGGACTCGCCGTTTCCAGGTCCCATGTAGTTACCCAAATGGAGCCAGAGGGGAGCCCAGGGTGCCTGAGAAGGTAAACACAGCTCCAGCTACAGCAAAGAAGATCTGGAGGAGGCCTGGGCCTGGTGAGTGGAATCCATGGGGATGGTCGTCTCAGGGCTGGCTTCACGTTATACCAGCAACTCGTGTTGTATCTCCTAGTGTTCTGATGCTAGTACCCGTGGCTGACCTTATCCCCCTTTTCTTTCCCCATTTGGATGCTTTGCCCACTGTCATGTCTACTCTGATCTCAGTTACCTGTTAGTTCTTCCCCTCTGCTCCCCACCTCCGTGTCGTTTCTTTTCTTGGTACTCTGCAGCATTGGCTTTCATTTAACATGTCATGAGTTGTGCTCACATCCTTCAGTTTTCCTCGAAAACGAAGTATTCCGTGCCAGCCAGATTTTCCTGGCCCTGGACAGACCCTTTTGCACAGTACTCACCTATCACAAGGAATGAGGCCTTGCTGGGAGACCATTGGCAGAGGAGTGATTTGGAGACCCTGCCCCTCCTCATACCGTACTCCATCCTTGTACCCTCTCCCTGTGAGGTCTTCTTCATTCTCTGACCTTTAGAGGCCTGCAACGCACAGCTTCCCTTCCTCATCCTGATTCTGGCTCCCATGTTTTGCATGCAGTCCCATGGACTCATTCCTGGTTGTATCAGACGGCATGTGTACGGCCTGCCACTTGCCACCAATTAAACTTGAACTTAACCCGCATTTATCTTCCTTCAGGTTGATGGCATGGAGTGAAGGATGAGGCTGCACCTTCTAAGCAGGGTGTTTCTGTGATGGGAACTCCCAAGGCAGGTCCTTCCACCCGAAAGGTTCATCCCTGTGATATGTGTGACCCAGTCTTGAAAGACATCTTTGCACCTGGCTGAGCCACAGGAAACACCATCTGAGCAGCACCCAAACACCATCATGTGAATCACTGTAGGAGAGACTTCTGGTGTAGTATAAACCTTGACCAGATGCAGAAGCCGCAGAGTGGAGAAAGTTTCTAAAGAAAGGAAGGGAGCCAGGCCTCATTTGCGAAGATCTGCAGATCCCATGTGTTGGAGAAGGCTTCTACTTGCAGGGAGGGTGGGAAGAACTTTGTGGTCAGCTCTGGACTTATCCAGCACTAGGCTCCTCGAAGCGGGGAGAAACCACACAGGGGTCCTGAGTGTGGGGAGGCCTTATGTGTATCAGATTTCCTTTAGGCAGGAAAGCACAACCTGAGACCGTAAAGCCTTCCATTTGTTGGAGGCAGCCTCACTCCATGGTTGGTTGACTCAGAGCATCTCAAGGGACTCTTGGTTGTGGTGAACCGGCGAACAAGGGCCATTGGAAATGCAGGAGAGGCACCTGACCCTGGGACACTTTCCCACAAGGAGAGTCTTCCCAGGAAGGTGAGCTCTAAGCACATTGGTGTGGGAACAGCTAATCTGCATTCAGGACTTTCATGAGAGTGAGTCTCTCGGGGAAGGGGGTGCTTTCCATGAACCACTCACATGGGCCACAGAAAGCTTCCATGGTCTATGGGCAGAATTTCTACAAGTGGAAGTTTAACAAATGTTGGCGTGGTTGTTCGACATCAGCAGATCATGCTGAGGGAAGCCTGTGACCACAGCGAATATGAGAAAACCTTTCTTGAGAGGGCAGGATTTACATTGAGCGAAGCCAGGGGAGGATTTACATTGAGTGAAGCCAGGGGAGTACTTCCAAGTGTGGGAAGGCCTTCAGCTGCAGGTCAGACCTCATGCAGCACCAGCAGATTCACACTGGGAGAGGCCTTGTGAATGCAAGGAATGTGGGAAAGTCTGGGACAGCTCTGCTTTTGTCCAAAATAACTTCCCCCACCCAAGAGAAAGTCTCTTCAAGTACAAAGTATGTGGGTAAACCTTTGGTGACAGCTGTTTTCTCACTCATCACATAGGGTTTTCCCAGGAGAGAAGGCCTGAGTGCAGTGATGTGGGAAGGCCTTCATTCACCATTTTTATTTCTGGCATTAATAGCATCCTCACTGGGGTAAAATCCTTTTGAGTATAAAGATCAGAGAGCCTTTTGTGACCGCTCTTCCCTAACTCTACACGAGGAGTCACGGTGGGGAAAACCTTGTGGATACAGTGAATGTGAACACACTTTCAGCCTTCGTTCATCCCTCATGCACCCCCTAAGTGTTCGTACTGGGGAGAAACCCTGTGAGTGTAAGAGATGTGGGAAAGCCTTTTGCAAGTGGACTTACCTCAGTCAACACCAGAGAACTCATACTGGGGAGAATGTAACTCCTGAGGAAAATGTTTGCCAGAGGAAACCTCTTGCTCGGCATCTGAGAAATTATACCAAAGAGAAACCCTGTAAGTGTCATCGTTGAGCGAAAAATCTCCTGAAGCAGATCATCACTTACTGTCTTCTAAAGGGTCCTATTGGAATTTGACTCAGCTTGGACCTTACTCTATAAATGAGAATTCAAAAAGGAGAGGAAACTAGTGGTTCTTGTGCAGTTTCAAAACCTTCAGCTACAGCTCAGTGTTAATATGCGCTGAAAAGCAATCATGGAATATTTTTAAAAAGAAAAGGCATAAGGGAGGAGGAAGAAAAGAAGTTGATGTTAACAGAAAAAGGAATGCATTCATGGTTTCGGGTTTCCCTGACAAACCCATAACAATTTGTTTTCAGTTGTTTTTGTTTGGGGTGGCAGGTGGAGCGAAGGGGCCTCATCCCTTCACCTGACTTAATACACACTCACTGCCATTCTGTGACAGGAGAGCTGGACACTTGACAGCATCTAAACAAATATTTATCGAAATCCTTCTTTGTTAAAAAACAGACTCAACTAGTAAGGGTCATTTAGTGTTTGTGATAAATGTGAAGTCATAATTTATGAAGCATTTAAAAGAAATTAGAACACTAAAAATATTGTCACCTAAAATTATTTCATATGTAAGGAGCTAAGGACATATATATGAATGGGTACATTTTCTGCATCATTTAAGACCATTTAAGGCTTCAGTTATTTATTCACTTATTTATTCTTCACTGAGATATAATTGACATATAACATGTGAGTTTAAGGTGTACAACATTGATTTGATGAATTTATATTGCAATATGATTGCCATTATAGCATTAACACCTATATCCTAGTGGTATCCTGTGTTCCTAGTGGTAGGAACAGTTAAGATCTAGTCTCTTGCCAAGTTTAATGTTTGTAATATAGTTTTGTTCCTTGTAATCCCTTTACTGTGTATTAGATCTTCAGAATTTATTTATCTACTAGTTGCAAGTATGTACCCTTAAACAACATCCCCCCACCCAAGCCTTTGGTAACCATCATTCCACTCTTATTTGAGTTCAGTTCTTTGTTTTTCTTTTAAGATTCCACATATAAAAATATATAGTATTTGTCTTTCTGTGTTTGACTTATCTCACTTAGCATAATGTCCTTAAGGGCCATCCTTATTGTCGTAAATGACAGCATTTCCTTTTTTCTCATGACTGAATAATATTCCGTTGTATATATGCCGCATCTTCTTTATCCTTTGATGGACACTTAAGTTGTTACCATATCTTGTCTCTTGTGTACAATGCTACAATAAACATGAGAGTGCAGATATCTCTGAGATCCTGTTTTCATTTCGTTTGGATATGTATATACCCAGAAGTGGGATTACTGGACCATATGGTGGTTTGCTTTTTAATTTTTTTAAGGTTATTTCCTTATTTATTTGAGAGAGAGAGAGTGAGTACAAGCAGGGGGAGCGGAAGGCAGAGGGAGTGGGAGAAGCAGGCTCCCCACTGAGCAGAGAGCTCAGACCTGAACCAAAGGCAGATGCTTAACTGACTGAGCCACCCAGGTACCCCTTATTTATTTTTATTGATTGATTGATTGATTGGTGGGCAGCAAAGCAAGGTTTATTGAGCGATAGCAAAGTGATAGTACAAAGCTCCCAAGGAGGGAGGGGACACCAGAGGGTAGCCCCTATTTTTAGTTTTTTGAAGAACCTCCATACTGTTCTCCAAAATGACTGGACCAGCTAACAGTCCTACCAACAGTGCGCAAATGTTCCCTTTTCTCCACATCTTTGCTGACATTTATCTCTCGTCTTCTTGATACTAGCCATTCTGACAAGTGTGAGGTGATACCTCGTTGTGGTTTTCATTTGCATTTCCCTGATGATTAGTGATACTGAGCACCTTTTCCTGTACCTGTTGGCCATTTGGATGTCTTTGGAAAGATGTTTGTATAGTTCCTCTGCCCATGGGTTAATCAGATTGTTTTTTTGTTGTTGTTATTGACTTACATGAGTTCTTTATAAAATTTTGGATATTAGCCCCTTATCTGGTAACATGGTCTGCAAATATTCTCTCCTATTCCATAGGTTGCCTTTTTATTTTTTTTAAATTGTTTCTTTTGCAATGCAGAAGATTTTAAGTTTGATATAGTCCCACTTGTTGATTTTTTCTTTTGTTTGTGCCTTTGGTATCATATCCAAAAAATCATCGCCAAAACTGCTGTCTTAGAGCTTCCCTTGTTTTCTTCTAAGACTTTTATAGCATCGGGTCTATGTTTACGTCTTTGATCCATTTCAAGTTAATTTTTGTGAGTGGTATAAGATAGGGATACGATTTCATTTCTCTGCATGGGATTATCCAGTTTTCCAACACCATTTGTTGGAAAGACTATCTTTTCCCCATTTGATATCCTTGGCTCTCATCAAATACTAGTTGACTGTATATGTGGGGTTTTAATTGTGTCTCTTTATTCTGTTCCGTTGGTCTGTCTATTTTTAGCCAATACTATATTGTTTGGGTTACTATAGCTTTGTAATGTAGTCGAAATCAGGAAATGTGATGCTACCTGTTCTTTCTCATGATTGCTTTGGCTATTAGGGATCTTGCGGTTCCATACAAATTTTAAGATTGTTTCTTCTATTCCTGTGAAAAGTGCCATTGGAATTTTGATAGGGATTGTGTTGAATCTGTAGATAGCTTTGCGTGGCATGGACATTTTAACAGTATTATTTTTTCTAATCTATGAACACAAGATATCCTTCCATTTGTGTCTCATTTCTTCTAACAGAATCTTATATTTTTCATTGCACAGATCTTTCACTTCCTTGGTTAAATTCATTCCTAGGTATTTTGTTGTTTTTGATGCTATTTTAAACGAGATAGGTTTTTCCCCCCCAGATGTTTCATTGTTAGTGTATAGAAATGCAAATGAGGGCACCTGGGTGGCTCAGATGGTTAAGCGTCTGCCTTCAGCTCGGGTCATGATCCCAGAGTCCTGGGATTGAGTCCCGCATCAGGCTCCCTGCTCCTTGGGAGCCTGCTTCTCCCTCTGCCTCTCTCTCTGTCTGTCATGAATAAATAAAATCTTAAAAAAAAAAAAAGAAGTGGCTCTTTAAAAGGTCCACCTCTATTTAAAAAAAAAAAAAGAAATGCAAATGATTTGTGTATATAGATTTCATATCCAGCAACTCTACTGAATTCACTGATTAGATCCAACAGTTTTTATTTGAGTCTTTTGGATTTTCTTTTTTTTTTCCTTTTTTAAAAACTATTTATTTATTTGTCAGAGGTAGAGAGCACAAGCAGGGGGAGCAGCAGGCAGAGGGAGACACAGGCTCCCTGCTGAGCAAGGAGCCCGATGTGGGACTTGATCCCAGGACCCTGGGATCATGACCCGAGCTGAAGGCAGATGCTTAACCGACTGAGCCACCCAGATGTCCCTGGATTTTCAATATAAGAATATATCATCTGCAAATAATGACAGTTTTACTTCTTTCTTTTTCATTTGGATACCTTTTAATTTCTTTGTCTTGCCTAATTGCTCCAGCTAGGATGTCAGTACTATGTTGAGTAAGAGTGCTGAGAGAAATCTTCGATTAAAAAAAACAAGCCTTTTCTTCATGTCATTTTAAACATCCAGTCTGCTCACTTTTCCTTGATCCAGATCTGCATTTTTCTTTATTTTCTCTGAGGCATGATGGTAATCATGTAGCTGTGTAGTCTTCCTAGGTGAGTCTTAAATATTTCTTTCCTCTGACTGGGTTTTTCACTTTTTTAAATCTCTTGAGGGGCTTCTCCAAGTCCACCTCAGTAGTTTTCCGGGGTCAGATTAGGGCTAACACAGTAAACCACACATTCCAGTAAAATTCATGATAATCTCTGGAGAAAAAACAAACAAGGATAAGGAATCTCATTGTTTAATCTTATGAGAATGTGTCAAGTGTTGTTATAAAGAACAGTGACTGGGATTTACCTGAGGGATGGAGCTGAATACGTGCAGGTGCACATACTTTCACGTTTACCCCCGTGGACTTACTTCCTTTGTGCTCTCATCAGGCAGGGCATTCGGGAATACCTCCTTCCTTTGGGACTGTCTTTGAGGACAAATGCTGAACTATATGAGGTGACCATTGTTGCCTCATGATAAAAAAAATTGTGCAATTTTTAATATAAATATAATCATTCTCACTTTGAGCCCTCCTCAGAACCTTGTCAATGACCACAGGCATAGTGTTGCTTCACCGTTGTGGGCCGGAACCATTCTCTGGCGCTTTACCACACTTCCTCATTCATGTACTTCTCAATGAGTCAGTAGTCACAGCACTTCTGATTATTAAATGGCGCCATGTATAGTTTTCTATTACTTGGGAAAGAGAGTTGCCTTCCAAGGGCTCCTTCCTCCTCCATCCTCCCTGCGTAGACCAGTGACTGTAGCTCTATCTATAGCTGAACTCCTGGGTCTATAAGGGTTGATGAAACACTCTCTACAGAGAATGTTTCCTTCCCACCTGGGAGCTCTTTGGTACAATGCAGCACATTCAGAAGCCGGGGCCTGTGTCTGTCCCAAAGCAGTTGTGACATGCTGTCCCACGGATGAAGGACTGAGGTTTGTTCCCTCATCTCCCATTTCTTACCATGCAGCCTTCCCTTACATGTTCAGTCAGAGAGCCCAGCTCTGACACCAAATGTGTCTGGGAACCCTGGAAGTATGAGAGAAGGATCGAAACGGGCATGTGAGGACAGGTGTGGAGGGGGCAGAGTGGCCTAAGGGCTAAGAGCTTGGAGTTGCGATTCGTTGGGATTCCAGCCTGTCTGCACCATGCCCATCCCCAGCCACGTGACTTTGGTCCTGTCACTTGTCCCTGGAGTTCCAGCCCAGCCACTGTGGCTAAGGTGGGAAGGGTGCAGCTGGGTAGGGCGAGATGAGGAATTGGGTTCTGTGCTCATTTTGAGATTTCTCCCAGACATCCAAGAGGAGGTATTGCTATCTAGCTGGATGTGCAAGCCTGGAATTCAGAGAAGTGTTCGGGTTTATGGATAGTTGGTGCCAATGCCCTCTGGCACCAGAAATGCACCTAATACCTGTAGTGGAACAGAGTGGGGTGCACTGGTACACTGCAGGGGGGATAGTGCACTCTTGGAAATGTGCAACACTCAATAAAAGGGTGTTAGGATGTCTTCCAGGCTCTGGGCTTGTGCTCAGTGGTTTGTAGGAGGGTTTAAGAGAGTGGAGATTTTGGGGGGCGCCCAGGTGGCTCAGTCAGTTGGGTGACTGCCTTCGGCTCGGGTCATGATCCCAGGGTCCTGGGATTGCGCCCTGCATTGGGCTCCCTGCTCAGCGGGGTGCTTGCTTCTCCCTCCTCCCTCTGCCTGTTGCTCCCCCTGCTTGGGCTCGCTCGCTCTCTTTCTTTCTGTGTCAAACAAATAAATAAAATCTTTTTAAAAATATCCAACAGGGCGCCTGGGTGGCTCAGTTGGTTGAGCGACTGCCTTCGGCTCAGGTCATGATCCTGGAGTCCCGGGATCGAGTCCCGCATCGGGCTCCCTGCTCGGCAGGGAGTCTGCTTCGTCCTCTGACCCTATCCCCTCTCATGTGTTCTCTCTCTCTCAAATAAATAAATAAAATCTTAAAAAAAATAAAAAATAAAAAATATCCAACAATAGCATGGATACAAGATACACATCTAAAATATTACAGGGGACACCTCCCTCTGCCCCTCCTCCCCATTTGTTTTCTCTCTCTCTCAAATAAATAAAACCTTAAAAAGAATACATAGGGATATTATTATTTGGCAAAAAAAAAAATAATTTCTGAGATGGCTAATATAAAAATGCTTGATATAATCATGAACTGGTATCTTTATCCTTGTTATTCTGAAACAGTTTCTTTATGTAATTTGAGTCAGTATTACAAATTACATACATATTTTATCTTTTTGGTGATGCTTTCTCCCTTGAAATTATTTTTTTCTGATATAAATACAAGATTCACATGTGTTCATGTGTTATTTTTTAATGATTATAAAGGTGTGCTTTTCAAGACCTGGTTCAAATATTTCTGTAATGTTTTATTTTTTTAAAGATTTTATTTATTTATTTGACAGAGAGAGACACAGCGAGAGAGGGAACACAAGCAGGAGGAGTGGGAGAGGGAGAAGCAGGCTTCCCGCGGAGCAGGGAGCCCGATGTGGGGCTCGAACCCAGGACCCTGGGACCATGACCTGAGCTGAAGGCAGATGCTTAACGACTGAGCCACCTGGGCACCGTTGACATCCCTATATATTTAGAGATGTGTTTAATAAAATTCTATAGGTACATTAATAGTTTAAAACACATATATTATAGGGGCACCTGGGTGGCTCAGTCGTTGAGCGTCTGCCTTCAGCTCAGGTCATGATCCCAGGTGTGTGGGACTTGTATCTGGGTGTCCTTCTATATCTGTGTCTGTCTTGTGGGTGCACGAGTCTTCAGTTGATATACCAGTACCCCCAACTCTTATGTCTATGTCTTGGTGGGTATCTGTGTGTGCATCTGCACAGGACTTTGTGTCCTGTATGTGTGTCTCTGGGTGTGCACGTCTGCCAATACATTTTTGGTAGATCTGGGTATGATGGTGATGTAGGGTCTGCTCCCAAACTGTGTATGTTCGTGGTGTGCCTGAGTGTGCTCTGCCTGCATCTGCCTCTGGGTGCCCCTCACCAACTGCCCAAACTGGACCCAGGTCCCTGGTTCTGCCACAGTCCAGTCACCTCTGACTAAGGGGATCTCTGCAGGCTTCACCAGCAGCGGGGCACTCTAGAACAATGTCCCCTCTGGCATATCTGTGCCCTCAGCTTGTCCCAACTCAGAACTCCTCTCCTCTGGGAGGCCTCTCTGACCAGCCTCTCAGGGGGGCCGGTCACCAAGGCCCTGACCTCAGATCTCCGCAGCCTGCACTTCCACTTTCTCCAATGCACAGGATCCTCACGTGCTCAGAGCTTTGAGTGTGATGTTCCCTCTTCCTAGAACTCTCTGTGTGGGACTAATTTCCATCTGTATTATAGGTGGAAATTTTCCACAGGAAGGGTCGTAATGGAAAGGGAAAGAGGAGCTCAGAGGGATCCTGAGGGCCAGGTCATGGCGTTAGTAGCCGGTCTGGCACTCAGCTCTAAACTCTGGGATTCTCCCGTCCAACATAAACAAGTTCACAGAACACCAACCTCAGTCAAGGCCACTCAGTGACCATGACAGACTGAGACAAAGATGGAACCATCCCATCATCATGTCAGAGCACAGACAAAACCAAGAACTCTGTGCAAACAATGGAAATGACCAGGTATCAGCCCTCTCCTGGGTGACCTAAGTGATAGCTAAGTCATCTCCCAGCTGCTGCTGGAGTGACACTCCCATCCCCTGCCTTGTAGAATAAACATGTGAGAACTTTGTGATGATGAATAATAACAATAACAGCTTGTATGTATTTAGCACTAGGCCCTGTGTTAAGTATTTATCATCTCATTTCCCATGACGTAGGTTCTACTATTTTCCCATTTTAGTCATTAAATTTGGGAGGAAGGGGGGCAGTGATGACTTTCCTTTTTTAAGATTTTATTTATTTGACAGAGAGAGAGAAAGAGCACAAGCAGGTGGAGCAGCAGAGGGAGAGGGAGAAGCAGGCTCTCCACCAAGCGCTGAGGGAGCCACCCAGGTGCCCTGGTCGTGATTCAAGAGAGTTCCAGTTCTCAAGCTGAAGCTGGAGCCCCGCCCCCGGGGCTTACACGTCCGAAGGTGTAGGTTGGGTCAGAGAACTTTGATTTTCAGTAAGTTCACAGGTGATGATGATACTGCCTGTCAGGGGCTTAAATTTGGGAATCAACGAATTAGAGGAACATTTAAGGATACTACAGAAAGGCCCCACCAGCGAGGCATATTCACTATTCAATTTAAATGTCAGTCCCCGCGGCGCCCGGGTGGCTCAGTCGTTGGGCGCGTCAGCCTTTGGCTGGGGTCGTGATCCCGGGGTCTTGGTATCGAGCCCCACCCACACCGGGCTCCCTGCTCCGCGGGAAGCCTGCTTCCCCCTCTGCCACTCCCCCTGCTTGTGTTCCCTCTCTCGCTGTGTCTCTCTGTCAAGTAAATAAAATCTTTAAAAATCAATCAATCAACCAATCTCAGTCCCCAAAGCTCAGAGAGGTGAAGCAGCTCCCTCAGGATTAAAGACTGCATCACGTGCTGGAGACCTCTGAGGACGTGGCTTTGTCCCAGGTGACCGCAGAAATATGGGTGCGTCCCCTTTAAGAGGAGCTTTGGCACTACCGGGCCACATTTCTCCCTTATCTTTCTCCTCCAAACGGCCTCCGCCCCCGCGGCTTTGCGCTGCCAGGAAAAGCCAGAAAGACGCCCCTTGCCTCGTCGATGCAGGGCACCAACTACATTACCCAGAAGCCTGTGCTCGCCGCGTCGACGTCGTGCCTACGGCAGCCCGGAAGAGCGGCGTTTCCCGCCGCCCGGCGAGGCTGGGGAGGGGCTTTCGGCGTCGGCGTCGTGACGTCTTTTGCCTGTGCCCGGAGTATCGGCACCGGCGGCGGAGGCTCTGGGGCTGGGGCGGTCCGCTTCCCCCGTGGCTCTTCGGAACCGAGCAGGGAAGGACGGTAAAACGCGCGCCTTTGTTGCCCTCCGTGAGCCCCGTCGTGGGACCGGCTGCGTTGCGCGGAGGTGTCCTCCGGGGCTGCGCCCTTCCCGAGGCCTCCGCCTCCGCGCTCTGTCCTCGTACGCCCCCGGCCGCGGCGCCCTAAGCCTGTGCGGGTTTCCACACGGGGGACGCGGGCTCGGAGGCCGGCGGTCGGCCCGAGGCCTCCCCGCCTAGTGGGGCCTTGGGGTTCCGGCTGATCCCGCAGGGCCTGCCCGGCTTGCCCGCTTCTCACGGCCCTGTTCTGCTCACAGGATCCCATGGCGGCCCTGGCGCTGATGGATGGGGCTCAGGTGAGCAGAGGGTCCCCAGGCCCTCCCGACGCGGATATAGGGGTGGCGGGTTCAAGGACCTGCCTCTCTGAGTCTGCAGCGCTCCCTGCTCTTGAGCGTAAAGGCGGCGGAGGGCGGTCGCTCCCGGCGGATGTGCGGCGAGGTTCCCAGTACTAGCAGCGTTGGGATGAGGTGTGCAAGGGTTTCCAAGGTGCAGGAGCCAGGCGGGGGGAATGAATTAGGAGTGTCCAGGAACCGAGGGTCCCTGTTACATCTGGTGGGAAGACACAGCAGGTGGTCAGGAGTCAGGCCTGGAACGGCAGCCTGGGGAGCCGGGCTTATGTTCCGATGGTCGTGGGAGCCGTGGAAGATTTGGAACGAAGAAGGGAGATGATCTGACTTAGGTGTTGACAGACCGTCTGGCTGCAGAGTGGAAAGACTGCGGGGCATGGGGCTGGGCAGGGAGCCCAGAACGGAGCTCACCTCAATAGACCCGGTGAATGTTGATGGTGGGTGGGCCAGAGTGGTGGCAGTGGAGGTTAGGGAAGTGTATGAGTTTGGTATTTGCTTTTAAAGTAGGGCCCAGTGGGCTTTCTGATGAGACATAGTGATATTCTAGGACTCTTTAATTTTCTCTCTGTCTGCATTTGAGTCTGGGGACCTTAAACTGGGGGGGAGGTCATTTCTAGCCCAGCATTCTGAATTCAGGCCAGGAGTTAGATAGAGAGGTTCCTACTCCGGGCAGCCAATAGGATGAAGACTGAAGGGTGTATCGGGCCCAGGAACGGCCTTGTGTAAATGCTGGGAGGTAAGATTGAAGTGGGTGTCCTCAAGGAACCACAGATCTTAATTGTCTGTTGGGAATAGGGTCAGGAGTCAGACAGGAATGGCAGGCCGAGGAGCTGGGCCTCATTCTGAGGGTGGTGAAAGACATGGGAGATTTGGATCAGAAGAGAGAGGTGACCTGACTTAGATTTTAATGGACTCCCTTCGGCGGCTCCCTGGTCGAGAACAGAGCGTTGGGTATGAGTGGGGCACCTACTGCAATAGGCTGTGAGTGTTGATGGTAACTGACCCAGAGAGGTGGCTGTGGAGGTGAGAGATGTTGGTGGATTTTGTATCTGTTTTTGAAGCAGGGTGACCAGATTTTCTGATGTGAAGGGTGAATGAGAGAAAGGGATGAGTTGTGGGTGACCCTGGGGGTTTTTGTTTGTTTTTTTTGTTTTGTTTTCTTTACCTGGTTGAGTGATGGAAATGCCATCAACTGAGATAGGGAAGCTGGTAGCAGGAGTAGTTTTCTGTGGTTATATTGGGAGGTAGGATTTTCTCATGTTTAGTGTAAGAAGTCCCAGAGACTCCTTAGTTGAAACATCAAGCTGGATACAGGTTTTTAGTTCTGGGAGAGGTGCTGGTTGCAGAAGTTCAAAAGGTGGTGGCCAATATGTGGAATGGGGTGAAGCTGTGCGTTACATTTAGGAGGGAGTATCTCCAGGTCATGGCGGCAATGCAGCTAATAACAAGAAAGTTGAAACTTGGGACTGAGGACTGGGTCTCTTGCTTAGGCGCTGGGTGACAGTGGTGCCTGTCACAAAGATACATGAGTACTTCCCACGCACCATGTGCAGAGTGGCATGGGGTTGTGTGTGCCCTGTAGGTGCATATGTTGTGGACCAGAAAGTTGTTGTTGGTAATGATGGTTCATTCCAACTGGGCGGAAGGGGTGGTTCAAAGAATGATGTACGTGTTGGGAGAAGTGTGAACTGATGGCCTTACGGTCGTGTCTGGGAGGCATGGTCTGAAGGACACCGGGAGGGCTGGCCAGCTAGAGAGTCTGGTGCCCTTCATGGAGGACCCACAGCTTACACAGTGTTTATCTGCCCACCTGCCTGGCTCTGGGCCGCACACAGTGATCAGAGAGACATGAGGAGAGAGCAGGCACTGGTGGTGCCAAGGCCTGGTATCTGCTCTGAGGGGGGAGGCGAGGAGGAGAGGGACCAGGGCTGGTTGTGTGAGTGGATAGACTGGAGACCCCTGTGGCCTGTGGGCTCAACTGTCCCCCGTCGTGACAGGGCTGTGTGACCTTCGAGGATGTGTTCGTGTACTTCTCCCGGGAGGAGTGGGAGCTCCTTGAGGAAGCTCAGAGACTCCTGTACCGTGATGTGATGCTGGAGAACTTTGCGCTTGTGGCCTCACTGGGTAAGTCCTTGTTTTATCTATTGGTATATAGCAAATTACCCCACAATTTAGTGGCTTAAGACAGTAAAAATCCATTGTTTCAGTGCGTCAGGGACCTGGTCACAGCTAACCTGCGTACTTTTTGCTCAGGCTGTCTCATGAGGTTTCAGTCAAGCTGTCAGCCAGGGTTGTGTTCTCATCTGAAGGCCAGTCTCAGGAAGAATCCACTTACAAACTCACTCATGTAGTTGTTCGCAAGATTTCGTTTCTTGTGGCTTGTTGAACTGTGAGAATAGTTCCTCTCTGGCTGTTGGCCAGCGCCCTCCCTCGGTTCCTTGTAATGTTGGCCTTTCTGTAGTGTACCTCCTAACATGGAAGCTGCCTTCTCTCCAAGTAAGTGAGTGAGAAAATGCCCAGGATGGAATCCGGTCTTTTTCTAACCTGACCTTGAAAGTGACATCCCATTATCCTTAGAAATGGGTCAGGCAGTCCAGCCTACAGAAAGGAAGAGGCTTACACAAGGGCAGGAATACCGGGAGGTAGACAGTCCCAGGGCCATCTTAGAGGCTGCCTTCCACAGGCCCTCACGTTCCCTCCAGTGTCCCTTGGGTTTGGTTATTCCCCTGTTTCCTAGAGACAGCTCTTTTTGTCCAGCCAGCTCAGTGACTCTTCTCCCTCCCTTCTTTGGTTCCCAGAGTAGGGAGGGCTGTGGGTACCAGGGCTGGGCTGTGTGCAGTATCCCCTCCCTTCCTGAGCAGTTCCAGCACTTTCTGCCCAAAGTCTTGCAGGAATTGGGTTAGGGGTTCAGGGCTTTTCAGTCTGTTCAACAGGTTCAGCATGGCTTGTGTGCTCCTTGGCCAGGTAACTGTCCAGATCCGTGGTACCTCGGTGTCCCAGGTTCTGCCCTCATTCTGTAGTTGACATTTCCTGGGGCCTGAGCATGCCAGGAATTACAGGTACTGGTGCGGTCACTGCTCATGGATGTCTCAGGGCTGTTCTGCTAAATGCTCCTTCGAGGCTCTGTTTTTTAACATTTAATTTTCTTCTCTGTGGGGTGGGACTGCCTGAGCCATTCATCTGGCCTGTGTTTTCTTGACAACTTCAGATCCCATGTAGTGGCCCAGTTGGAGAGGGGCAGAAAGCCCTGGGTGTCTGACGGGGCAGACCTGACTCCAGCCACAGTGAGAGAGACCCAGAGAGGACCTGGCCCTGCAGGACGGGAGCTGGAGGAGTGGCACGTTAGTGCTGGGTTCAGATCATACTTTCAGCCCACTTTGTGTCCATTGGTGTTTTTTTCTCAAGGCCTATAGCGATACCTCATTTCTGCCTTTCCTTCCCCATTCTTGCGCTTTGTCCACTTGGAACTTCTCTTCTGTCTTCCATCTCTTGGCTGTTTCCTCCCTTTTCTGGCCTCTGTGTCTCGTTCATTCTTCCCTGCTCTGCAGTGCTGGCTGCTTTAATGTGCAATGAGTTGTGCACATAGCCTCCAATACTCCTTAAGAACCAGCTACCTACTCGCAGGTGGGTTTTCCTGGGCCTGGACACATTCTTCTGCCAGAGCTCGGCTGGCACCAGCCGCCAAGGCCCTTGTCCGTAGAGGAGTGAGCTGGAAAGCTCTTCTTTGTTCTTTGTTCCCCATACCATGTACCACATGTGTCTACCCGTCCTTTCTCCTGACTATGACCTTGAGAGGCCTGGGGCTGACAGTGGGCCTTTCCTCACCCTGACCCTGCCTCCCTTGTCCCACCAGCAAGCCAGTGCCCTCATTCTTCGGTGTTTCACACACACATACGTGATGGGGCTGCGGCCGTCCACCAAAGCCAACATGTACCTCACCAGCATCTTTTTGCTTTCAGGTTGTTGGCGTGAAACAGATAACGAGGAGACTCCTGAGCAGAGCATTTCTGTAGGATTGTCGCAGCTCAGGACTCCCGAGTCAGGTGCAGTTATCCAGAAAGCCCACCCATGTGAGGCGTGTGACCCACTCTTAAAAGACATTTTGCGCTTGGCCGAACACCAGGGATCACACCCCTTGCAGAAACTGTACACACGTGGCCCATGTGGGAGAGGATTCTTGATCAGTGCAAACTTTTACCAGCACCAAAAGCGATACAGTGGAGAGGATCTCTTCAGGCTGGGTGCTAGTGCGGCCTCATATATGAAGAGCTGTGCAGTCCACATGTTAGGGAGACCGTTTACTTGCAGCGAGGAAGGGATGGACTTGCTGGACAGGTCTGGCCTCTTCTTTTGCCAGACCACTGGCAATGGGATGATTCCATACGAAAGGACTGAGTTCATGGAATCTTTCCCACACAGCACCAGTCTTGGCCAACACCAGGGAAACCATGATGGACTGGTGCTTTTCAATTGCACTGACAATGGGAAGGGCTTCCTGAATACCTTTACTCTCCTTGGCAGCCGGATAAATGATACTGAAGTAAGACCTTTTAGATGCCCGCCATGTGGAAGTATGTCCAAGGAGAGATCAGCACTTACTAATCACAGAAAAGTTCACAGTGGAGAAGTATCACATGTGTGTAAAGAGTGTGGAAAGGCCTTCATTCATTTGTCTCACCTAAAAATGCACCAGAAATTTCACACTGGAAAAAGACATTACACATGTAGTGAATGCGGGAAGGCCTTCAGCCGCAAAGACACACTTGTTCAACACCAGAGAGTTCACACTGGAGAAAGGTCTTATGACTGCAGTGAGTGTGGAAAAGCCTACAGCAGAAGTTCCCACCTTGTTCAACACCAGAGAATTCACACTGGCGAAAGGCCTTATAAGTGCAGTGAGTGTGGAAAAGCCTTCAGCCGCAAAGACACTCTCGTGCAGCACCAGAGGTTTCACACTGGAGAAAGGCCTTACGAGTGCAGCGAATGTGGGAAATTCTTTAGCCAAAGCTCCCACCTTATTGAGCACTGGAGGATTCACACTGGGGCACGGCCTTATGAATGCATTGAATGTGGAAAGTTTTTTAGCCATAACTCGAGCCTCATTAAACATCGGAGAGTTCACACAGGAGCAAGGTCTTACGTGTGCAGCAAATGTGGGAAAGCTTTCAGCTGCAAAGACACACTTGTCCAGCACCAGATAATTCACACTGGAGCAAGGCCTTACGAGTGTAGCGAATGTGGGAAAGCCTTTAGTCGTAAAGACACACTTGTGCAGCACCAGAAAATCCACACTGGAGAAAGGCCTTATGAGTGTGGTGAATGTGGGAAATTTTTTAGCCATAGCTCCAACCTTATTGTACACCAGAGAATTCACACTGGAGCGAAGCCTTATGAGTGCAGTGAATGTGGAAAATGCTTCAGCCACAATTCCAGCCTCATTCTACACCAGAGAGTTCACACCGGAGCAAGGCCTTACGTGTGCAGTGAATGTGGAAAAGCCTACATTAGTAGCTCCCACCTTGTTCAACACAAGAAAGTTCACACTGGAGCAAGACCTTATGAATGTCGTGAATGTGGGAAATTCTTTAGCCGGAACTCTAGCCTCATTCTACATCAGCGGGTTCACACTGGAGAAAAGCCTTACGTGTGCAGCGAATGTGGGAAAGCCTACAGTAGAAGTTCCCATCTTGTTCGGCATCAGAAAGTTCACACTGGAGAAAAGCCTCATGAATGCAGTAGTTTTGATGGTCCTTTAGCTACATCTCTTAAACTTGCTTAGCATCAGAAAGCTCACACTAGAGAAAGGCCTTACGAATGCAGAAAATGTTCCATCTCTTTGTTCGACCTGATAGGATTCACACCAGAAAAAATCTCTGTGAGTACCCTTTGTGAGGGAACCATCAACCAGCAGGTGAACCTTGTACATTCATACAGGTAACACGGGGAGATTCCCAGTTAGTAGGTGGGAAGCTTTTATAGGTGCATTGCACTTTCTAAACTATCCAGGGCTCTTGACCGAGTTCTATCACTGCCAGTGCCTGTGGCAGAAGCCATCTCATTACTACCAGCTGTCAGAGGTCCCACAGTGTGTGTCAGTCACTCCAGTATGCTCGGGGAAGGCAGACCCCTGTGCTCCCCCTCCTGTTCTCTGGAGGGAATCAAGAGTGTTCTGAGCCCAGTGAGATCCTCACTTCCTCCCCCATGACTGCATTCTCAGTCGACATGATCCAGCTCTGGCCAAGAGGATCTGAACTGGAGTCTGCTGGGGATTTCCAGACAAGTTTCTCTTCACAAACAATGTTGACTGTGAACATAATAACCATGAACTCATTTGTCTTCTTCTAAATCACCCATCTTTAGAACTGCTTGCCCCGTGCTGCTCTGATTCATGCAGTGTCACTGGCCTACTGTGGCGATCTCTACTGTTGTTGGTGTGGTGGGGTCTAGTCATGTGCGGAACGGATTAAGAAAAGGTTGGGTTCTTCCACCAACTTCATGTGCCTCAGAAGGGTCAGCAGGATGGCAGAGAACAGATCTCAGTCCAGCTGGCCTAAGTTGCATTGTGCCCAAGGCTTGCTGGGAAAGAGTGAAGAGCTCTGTGTGCCTCATCCTGTGGCCCGGAAGGCAAGATTTCCTGTGAGCCCAGAGTTCATTTCTGAGGAAGGCATAGTTGGCGTGAAAATCTCCAGTTCTTCTGGAAACATGAATTGGGTCTCTTGTTCCTAGGGAATGTTCCATATTCCCCAGCACTTGTGAGGGATTTCTGTCTCCTAGGTCTGCATAGGAGCCAGTGCCTGATGTCCAGAATCCCATAGGCAAGTTTCATTGACTGGAAGGCCCACAGGGCAAGGTGAGGCTCATAACTGGTACAGAAACACTGAGATAATGGAGTGGGGATGAATGTGGCCAATGAGAGGATATGTGTCTCTCCTAGCAGAGGCATCTACAAACGCCCATACGATTTTTGTGGGATGAGAATATAGAAATTCTCTGGACCTCAGACATCTGTATTTCCTGTGGTCAAGGCCACTGTTAGTGTCTAAAGGTTTGTGGATTCCTGTACCTCCCTGGGCTGTTGATGTTGTGGCCGTAACTACACATGCAGGAACCTCAGCATGGACAGAAGAGAGATCCAAGGATAGGGCTTCCCTGACCTAGCTAGCATTCCTAGTGACTGAAGTGGACATGGATTTCATTGCTCTCCAGTTCTTGCTGACATTGAGGCAGGGTTCATTCTCCTAAATTGGGGAGGGAGATGGGAGAACCAAAGTAGTTGGCAGATGTGACTTTCTAAGAGGGATGGTAAATAGGGACTTTATGGGGAACGCTTAGTTCTCAAAAACTTCATTGAGGTATGACTGACATGAAATAAACTGCACATATGAAAGTGTGAAATGTGTTACGTGTCAGCATGTGTATATACCTGTGAAACCATCACCACAATCACGATAATGAACATATTCAACACAGCCAAAAGATTCCATGTGTTGCTTTATAATCCTTTTATCTCAGTCTTTCTAATTAACCTTTGCCACAATTCATAAACAACAAGCATTTTCTAGAATTTTACATAGACAGAATCATATGGTATATACATTCGGGGGAGTTATGGATAGTGAAAAGGGACTCTAGCCCTTTTCACTATCCATAACTATTTTGAAATCAATCCATCTTGTTGCATGTATCAGTAGGTTGTTCATTTGTATTGTTGAGTATTACTCCATTATATGCATATACCACAATTGTTTTTTATCCATTAAGCTATTAGTGAGTGTTTGGGTTGTTTCCAGTGTGGGGCTGTTACAAATAAAGCTGCTCTGAAGATCTCTGTGCAAGTTATCACTTAATAACATTTCATTATATAAATATGCCACAGTTTGTCTGTTCACTACTGAAGGACATCCTGGTTGCTTCCAAGTTTGGCAGTTACGAATAAACCTGCAATATACATTTGTGTGTAGGTTTTGTGTGGATTTAAGTTTTCATCTCTTGGTTCTAGCCAAGGAGTGTGATTTACTGGATCATATAGTAAGAGTATGTTTAGATTTGTAATAAACTGTCTTCTTTTTTTTAAGATTTTATTTATTTGAGAGAGAGAGCACAAGTGGGGGTAAGGACAGAGGGAGAGGGAGAAGCAGACTCCCCGCTGAGCAGTGAGCCTGACATGGGGCTCTATCCCAGGACCCTGGGATCATGACCTGAGCCCAAGGCAGACGCTTAAACATCTGAGCCACCCAGGCGCCCCTGTAAGAAACTGTCCTGCAAAGTGGCTGTACCGTTTTGCATTCCCACCAGCAATGAATGAGAGTCTCTGTTGCTCCATATCCTCATCAGCATTTGGTGGTGTCAGTGTTTTGGAATTTGGCCATTGTAATAGGTATGTAATGGTATGTTACTGTTGCTTTAATTTGAAATTCCCTAATGACATGATTATCATTTTCATGTTTTTTAACACTATCTTTTGCAGAGCAGAATTTTAATTTTATTTATTTATTTTTTTTAAGATTTTATTTCACAGAGAGAGAGCAGGAACCCAAGCAGGGGGAGTGGGAGAGGGAGAAGCAGCCTTCCCGCAGAGCAGGGAGCCCGATGTGGGGCTTGATCCCAGGACTCTGGGATCATGACCTGAGCCGAAGGCAGACGCTTAACGACTGAGCCACCGAGGCTCCCCCAGAATTTTAATTTTAATCAAGTTGAAATTACCCAGTTTTTCTCAAGGATTGTATTTTTGGTGTTGTATATAAAGCATTGCCAAATCCAAGGTCACCTGCATTTTGTTCAGTGTTATTGTCTAGGTGTTCTGTAGTTTTGTGTTTTGCATTTAGGTCTATTATCCATTTTGAGAAAATATTTGTGCAAGTATAAATTCTATATCTAAATCATTAAAAATTTTATTTATTTGAGAGAGAATTCACAAGCCAGGGGAGGAGCAGAGGAAGAGGGAGAAGCGGACTCCCTGATGAGCAGGGAGCCTGATGCGGGGCTCAATCCCAGGACCCCGAGATCATGACCCGAGCCGAAGGCAGACGCTTAACCCTTAACCCACTGAGCCGTCCAGGTGCCCCTAGATCATTTTTTTTTTTTTAAACGTGAGGATACTCAATAGTTCAAGCACCATTTGGTGAAAAGACTATCTCTACTGAATTGCCTTTGTTCCTCTTTCAACAATCAGTTGACTATTTCTGCTGATCTATTTTTAGACGCTGTTCCAATTTTTTTCCATCTATTGAGATAATCCTGTTGGGTGGGCTTTGGCGGGGGGGGGGGTGTTATTTATATGGTATAATCCATTAATTGATATTCAGATGTCAAACTAACCTTGCATTTCCTGGGACAAATCCCACTTGGTCATGATGTATGGTCCTTTGTATATGTTGCCAAGTCAGTTTTCTGATACTTTATTAGTATATTTTGCATCTATATTGATGAGAGAGAACAGTTCTGTAGATTGCTTGTGCTATCTCTGTGTGATTTTGCTATCAAAGGAATCCTGACCTCACAGAAAAAGTTGGGAGTGTTGCCTCCTTTATTTTCTGGTAGGATGGAAGAGTTTTTGAGTTTTGCAGATTAGTGATATTTCTTTAAAATATTTGCTAGAATTCCTTAGTGAAGGCACTTGACCCTAGAATTTTCTTGTGGGAAGACTTTCAATCAATTTTCAGTCAAAATTTGCTTAATACAGTACTATGTAGTTTTTCTACTTGTGTCAGTTTTGGATAATTGGTGTCCTTTAAGGAATTTTTCCATTTCAATTGAATTGTCTAATTTGGGGGGACAAAGATTTTTATAATATTCCTTTATGATACTTCTAATTTTTTTAGGGTGAGTAGTGTCCTCATTCCTGCTTGTGTTAATTTATTTTCTTTGCCTGCCTCAAGTTTTATCAATTTTGTTGATCTTTTGAAAGAACCAATTTTTAATTTCATTGATTTTTTTAGTTGAAGAATAATTGACCTACAATATCGTGTAAGTTTCAGGTGTACAACATACTGATTCAGTATTCATACACATTACAAAATGGTCACCACAAGTCTAGTTACCATATGTCATGATACAATGTTTTTACAATATTACTGACTATATTCCCTGTGCTGTACATTATATCCCTGTGCCTTATTTATTTTACAATGGGAAGACTGTACCTCCTAATCCGCTTTGGCTCTTTCATCTATCCCCATCCCCCTTCCCTTTAGCAAACATCATTCTCTATATCTGTGAGTCTGTTTCTGTTTCATTTGTTCATTTGTTTTGCATTTTAGATTCCACATATAAGTGAAGTCATATGGTATATGTCTTTGGGTGATTTATTTCACTTAGTGTAATACTGTTTAGGTCCATCCATGTCACAAATGGCAAGATTTCATTCTTTTTTATGGCTAATATTCCATTGTATCTATATATAGCTAGATAGAAAGATAGATATTTATAGAGATAACTAGAGAGAGAGAGATGTGTAACTCCACACACATACCACATCTTTATCCATTTGTCTATCATTGGACATCCTGGTTGCCTCCATATCTTGGCTATTGTAAATAATGTTGTGATGACATAAGGGTGCATATGTCTTTTTGAATTAGTGTTTTCACTTTCTTCAGATAAATGCCTAGAAGTGGAATTGCAGGATCATATGGTATTTCTATTTATAATTTTTGAAGGAAGTTTCATACTGTTTTCCATTGTGGCTGCACCAATTTACATTCCTACCAACAGTGTACAACTGTTCCCTTTTCTCCACATCCTTGCCAATACTTATTTCTTGTCTTTCTGATAAGAGCTATTCTGACAGGTGTGAGGTGATACCTCATTGTGGTTTGGATTTGCATTTCCCTGATGCTGATGTTGAACATCTTTTTATGTGCCTGTTGTTCATCTGTAAGTCATCTTTGGAAAAAGGTCTTCAGGTCCTCTGCCTATTTTTAAGTCAATTTTTATATTGAATTTATAAGTTCTTCATATATTTTTGATGTTAACCCCTTATCAAATATGTAATTTGTGAAAAGCTTCTCCCATTCATAGGTTGCCTTTTTGTTATTGATAGTTTCCTTTGCTGTGCAAAGCTTTTTAGTTGGTGACCCATTTCTTTATTTTCGCTTTTGTTGTCCTTACCTGAGGCGACATCCAAAAACATATTGCTAAGACCAATGTCAAAGAACTTACTGCCTATGTTTTCTTCTGGGAATGTTATGCCCATTTTGAGTTTAGTTTTGTATATGGTATAATAAAATGATCCGATTTCATTCTTTTTCATGTAGCTGTCCAGTTTTCCCAACACCATTTATTAAATAGGGTGTCTTTTCTTCATTCTATATTCCTGTCTTTTTGTCATAGATTGATTGATCATATAAGTGTAGGTTTATTTATTGGATTTCTATTCTGTTTCGTTGATCTATGTGTCTGTTGTTGTGCCCATACCATACTATTTTGACTACTATAGCTTTGTAGTATAGTTTAAAATCTGGGCACATGGTATCTCCAGCTTTGTTCTTCTTCAAGATTGTTTTGGCTGTTAGGTCCTTTGTGTTTCCATGCAAATTTTAGGATTATTCTGTGAAAAATACCATTGGTATTTTGATAGGGATTGCACTGAATCTGTAGATTGCTTTGGGTAGTATGGACATTTTAACAATGTTAATTTTTCTAATCCATGAGTGTGAATTATCTTCCCATTTATTTGTGTTTTCTTTAATTTCTTTCATCATTGTCTTGATAGTTGTTAGAGTACAGGCTTTTCACCTCCTTGGTTAAATTTATTACTTGGTATTTTATTCTTTTTGATGCAGTTGTAAATGGGATTGTTTTCTTAATTTTTCTTTCCCTTTCTTTAAGATTTTATTTATTTATTTGACAGAGAGACATAGCGAGAGAGGGAACACAAGCAGGGGGAGAAGCAGGCTTCCCGTTGAGTAGGGAGCCTGATGTGGGGCTCCATCCGAGAACCCTGGGATCATGACCTGAGCCGAAGGCAGACGCTTAACAACTGAGCCACTCAGGTGCCCCTTAATTTTTCTTTCTGATAGTTTGTTATTAGTGTATACAAATGCAACAGATTTCTGTATATTGATTATGTATCATGCAAATTTACTGAATTCATTTATTGCAATAGTTTTTGAGTGGAGGTTTTAAGGTTTTCTATATGCAGTTTGTCTTCTGTGAATAGTGACAGTTTTACTTTCTTTCCAATTTGAATGTCTCTTTTTTCTTTTTCTTGTCCATTTGCTGTGGCTAGGACTTCCAGTACTAATCTAATAGAAGTGGCAAGAGTGGCACCCTTGCCTCGTGCCTGATCTTAGAGCAAAAGCTTTCAACTTTTCACTCTTAAGTACGATGTTAGCTTGGGTTTGTCATATATGGCCTTTATTCTATTGAGGTACATTTCTCCTATATTCACTTTGTTGAGAGTTTTTGTCATAAATGGATGTTGAATTTTGTCAAATGCTTTTTCTGCACCTCCTGAGATGATCATATGATTTTTATCCCTCATTTTGATAATGTGGTGTATCATGTTGATTGATTTGCTGATGTTGAACCATCCTTGCATCCCTGGAATAAATCCCATTTGATCATGGTGTATGATCCTTTTAATGTATTGTTGAACTCAGTTTGCTAATATTTTGTTGAGGTCTTTTGCATGTGTGATCATCAGGAATATTGGCCTGTAATTGTTTTTCTTATAGGGTTTTTGTGTGGTTTAGTTATCAGGGTTTTGTGTGTGTGTGTGTGTGTGTGTGTGTTTCTGTTTTCTAACTTCAGTAAGCTTTTTTTTCTAATCTTTACTATTTTCTTTCTTATCCTTAGTTTGGGATTAGTTTGGTCTCATTTTCTTGTTTTCTTTTTTTTAACATAAAAGTTTAGGTTATTGACATCTTTCTTCTTTTGTAATAAGCTGTTTAAAGCTATACATTTACCTCTAATCATTTAGTTTACTTGTGTCACATTGATTTTTATATGTAGCATTTTTACTTTTATCAAGCTGAAAATACTTATACTTTAAAAATTTCCCTTGTAGTTTCTCCATTTATTCATAGGATATTTGGTAGTATGTAGTTTAATAAATCCCTATTAAATTCGCAGGGCTGGCATCACAGAGCAGGAGGAATGCTTTTAATCTTTCAGTCAAGGGCCCAAGTGTTATAATTAAGGCTTGAAATGGAGAAAATCTATTTGTTACTTTAAATATATTACATTCTGAGGAAGAGACTGAACAAAGCTGTCAGTTTTTAATGTAGGAAGAGTAACCCACTCTATCAGGAGTTGATGAGGATGACCATCGGTTAATTCATCTTGGTTATTAGGCACTTTTTCCTTCCTCAGAGCACCCTCATTGATCTGATTTGAGGTATTTTCTTTGTCGTAGTTTTTGTTTCATAAGATGGGACAATCCTTTTTCCAGTGTTCCTTCTATGTACAGTATCTACAAGTGTCTTTGTCAATAAGTGGTTGATTGGGAAATGGGCTATTAGCTGTTTGACCTGCAGGGACACAATTTACATTGGGTCCTGTCGTGTTTTCATTCTGAAGCCCTCTCAAAATGTACTGCCATGTGCTATAGTTCAGCTAAAGAGACTATTTATTATTCTAATTTCTGTAAGTGCTCATTGAACATTCACAGATCAGTAAAGACACAATAGTACAACTTCCCTATTCCTTTTTATCTTTCTGGCAACTCTGTAAATATTGTGTTTTCCTCTCCCTACAGGCTGTTACAGCACAATGTTTTTAGGTATTAAAAATAATCACATTTTGGGACCAACCATGAATGAAGCCAAGGTTTCAGCAAGCTACAGTCTCAGCTTCATTCTCTGACTTCTTAGACTCGGCGTCTCTCACTCAGACTTCACTGAGATCTTAACTTTTCCCCCCACTTGTCACACATATATTTCTCTAGAACTATTTTTGCCACTTTCCTTGAAAAACATTTTTAATATCATTCAGTAATATCAATCTCACAAGTGTTTTTCCAGAGAGAATCTCAACTCTGTGCATTCACTGTTGCTGCAATTACAGATGAAATGATAATCACTAACCAGCAAAGAGATGAGATTATGGATACTCAATTCTTTATCTCAGGGATAAGATGTCCCTTTGCACACATGGCCAAATTGTGTTGAAGGCATACACTGTTCAGGTAGAAGATGGCACGTGATAAGTCCTTTTTTCAGATAGGTTTCAGATTCTTAAAAGAAATGGGACATATTTCAGATATACAGTAATAAATATTATCTGAACAAAAGTATTGTTCTCCAGGTTGGAACACCATTACTGACCATACAGGCAGGAAAAATGTTTTCTGTGGGAATCAGAGGCGTATCCTCACCCTTTCTAACTACTTCAAGGCCTCCTTACACCCCTCCTTCAAGTTCCCCATCACAGCCCTGTCTGGAGGCCCTTCCTTTCTTTTTCCTCCTCCCCCTTCCCCTTCCCCTCTTCCCCTTCCCCTTTCTTTCCTTCCCCCCTCCCCCCTTTTTATTTTATCTTATCTTTATTTTATTTATCTATTTGGGGGCAGAGGGAGAGAATCTCAAGGCGACTCTGCGCGCTGAGCATGGATCCCGAGGCAAGGCTGGATCTCATGACCCTGAAATCAAGAGTCCCACACTTAACCGACTGAGCCACCCAGGCACCCCTGGAGACTTTTCTCATTGAAACTATTGAAGCCCATAAAGAGGACCCCAAAGGGTCAGTGTATACGTCTTTGGCAAGCAACAAGATAGCTGAGAGCTATGAGGGGACGGCGAGTAACATTACTGTGTGCTGTGTCCCTGTCTATGTGCAGGCTTCTGGAAGTGTGCTGCGATGCACGGAATCTGAAACAACAGGTCTTTGAACCTTTCTGTGACTTGTTCTACGCTGCACTAGGAGGAAAGCTACCTATCGCCCCTTTAAGAACCAGCAAAGCCCCGCCCCCTTTAGAACCCGGAACTCCATTTCCCAGAGCTCCTCATAATTTGCGTGGCCTTTATCCTCTGTCAGGCACGACCTACGTTCTGAGTCTGCGCAGTAATGGCGCGGAAACTACATTGCCCAGAAGGCCGCGCGGCCGCGGCGGCGGGGACCGCCCAGCCGGCCAGGCTTACCCGAGAGCGGTTTCCGTGCGTGCGCATCGCACGGGGGCGAACTTCCGGCAGCGTCCCTGCAGCGTCTGGTTCTCTTGTTCTCGGGACTGTTCTCTCCTTTAATGCGAACCAAAGTCCTGACTGAAGTACATGGAAAGCGCGGGGAGAGGCGTCGTTCCCGCCGCAGAGCCTGCGCGAGGCGACCTCTTCCCCGCCCGGGCGCCCGCCGCTCCGCGCACCGCTCTTCCCGCCGGTCGTTGGCGGAGGCCGCGCCGATGAAGCCGGCTGCGGTGGGTGCCGCGACCCCCGGGCCCTCAGCCGCCCGCCCCTCGCCCCGAGCGCTGCTTCCGGACGGAGGGGCGCCCGCGGGGCGGGAGCAGAGGGCGCCCCGGCGTGCGGTCCCGGCTCCGTCCGTGCGGTGGGGCGTGGCGGGGGCGGGGGGACCGGGACCCTTGTGTGTGCGGGGAACGGAGGGCGCGGTGGGGTGTCGCCTGCAGTGGCCACGCCGGCGTCCGCGGAAGGTCGCGAGCGGGCGGGGGGGAGGGGCACGCGCAGAGTCGGGAGTTTAAGGTAAGGGGGAGCAGGACGGGGCCCCCCGGGGGAGTTCTGGGAGGCTGGAGCAGGGCGGCGGCGGCAGAGGGGGTGCGAGGCGTCCCACGGCAGAGCCGCGTCGCATACGCGTGTGAGCAGACGCGGGGAGTGAAGGGCCCTGTTGAGGCTTCTTGGCCTGAACATCGGGAAGGGTGGGGGTGGGGTAGGCGAGCCCGGGGAGCGGGCATCGGGGAGACCGTGCGTTTGATTCTGGACGCGCTGATGCTGAGGTGTCTCAGCGGGGAGACGTGACGGGAGCGTGTGGAGGACGGGGGAGGGGGCTGGGCTGTCAGAGGCGAGGAGGGCGTGGCCTGAGGGCCAGATGGAGGAGGGAGTCTTAAGGTCGTTACTGCTGATGGGCTCCGCGGTGTCCGGAGGGCTGAGACTTTGAGTGTGTAGGGGATTCAGCATCCTCAATGCTCCTTCTGTAAAGGAGCGTACCTGACACGGAAGGTATCTGGCCTGTGTCTAGAAGAGAATGCCTGGATTTGTAAGCTTGCTGGCCTGGGTGGAGATGGACGTATAGACTCTCAGCCCTGCAGGTCAGCTGATCCTTAGAGACAGTCCCTGTGAGACAAAGGAATAGCCAGATTTGGGGAGCAGAGGGGTCCCAGATAGGGGCACTGTCTTCTCCTCCTCCACCTTGAGGACAAGAGGAGGGAAGGAGTGCTACAGTAAAGGGGTCCTGCAAGCGCCCTTCAGGGGATCATGTAGCAGGTAGGCTTGTTTGCTGAAAGGAAGAGTAGCTGAGCTGCCTGCTCAGACTCTCCCTACAATTCATTAAATTCAGGATGTATGAAACATTTATCGATTAAGACGTCAGGTAACCAGTAGTCCTCTAAATATGTACATATAGGTAGGCAACTAGAAATTAATTCATTCAACAAATTAAGCATGGCAGTACTTTATAAAATTGCAAGATTTATTTATCTGTGGTATTTGCTAACAGTAGAATGTTATATATCACATCTTCTGAAAGTCTTAAAAAGCAGAAATAATGCACACCCACATTTTTAAAACCCTATCCCTTTATTTGCACTGACAACATACAGAATTGTTATGTTGGATAGTTATGGATGCCAGGTAGTGTGTATTAATTGTGTTTAATACTGTTATCAGCTCTATGAGGTGGGGGCCATTGTTAACCCCATTTTCCAGGAAAGGAATTGAGGCTCAGGAGGTTCAGGCCTTCTGCAAAGTCACGCAGCAGATACGAGCGGCACTGAAGTCAAAGGAGCTGAGAGCTTAGGTTATCAGGCTGAGATCTCTGTGCTCCAGGGCAGGGCAGGGGCGGTGGTGGTCCAGTTCAGTCTGTAGGATCCTACCGTGGTTGCCCCTTTCTCATGGCCTCCCTCTTCCCACAGGTTCCCATGGCATTTGCAGAAATGCTTATGAACCCTGTTCAGGTGAATGGAGGATGTGACAGACCTTCATCCACCCTAGTTATCACCCTGATGGTTTTGCCATTCTCATATAAAGAATGATGGTGTCCTGAGATTGCTCACCTGGTCTTCTCCCTCCCTTGGGTCTAAAGTCCCTGTGGTTTCACCAAAGCCCAGGGTTTTGAACTGAGCCCTGGATTCTATGGAGCGTTTCCCATTTCTGGCAACTGATGGGGTAAGATGTGGAAGGGTGTCCTGGGCACAGGGTCCAGAATGTTCAAGTGGTGGGGGTGAGAGTGAGTTGGAATGTTCAGGGAACTGCAAGGCTCTTATATATGGTGGGAATATCGGCGGGGGGGAGTGTTGGGGGTCAGGGGCACACAGTTATCAGATCCACTATTACAACCTGAGGTCGTGGGCCTCTGATCTGAAGGAAGTAGGAGCTAGAGAAGTTTTGGAGCAGAGGAGCCAGGTGATCACATCCAGATTTTAACAGGCTATGTCTAGCTGCAGTGTAGGGGAGAGGCGGGAGTGAAGGTGGGAATAGTGACCTGGGAGGGAGCTCCTGTGACAGTGCAGGTGAGTCCTGCTGATGGCTGGCCAGGGTGTGGTGGCTGTGGAGGTAGAGAACTGGTGCCTTCTGGATGTGTTCTGCACGGAGTTGCCCACGTTTAGTGATGTGGTGAGTGAGGGTGCCAGGAGGTGTGAAGGAAAGGGGGTCAGGGACAGCCCCGAGGCTTTTGGCTTTTTCTGGAAGTTTGGATGTTCTGTCAATTGAGATGGGGAAGTCAGTAGAGGGCTTGCCAGAGGGAATTGGAAGTCAGGTTTTGTCACTGATGTCCAGATGTTCCAGAGACTCCCAAGTAGAGGTACCCGGTCAGCAGGTGGACACACAGATCTGGAGTTTAGGGGAGGCATTCAGGTTGCAGACAGCCACAACATAGTGGCCGGTATGTGGACTGAAGTGTCGCCGTGCCTCAGTTTTCAGAGGGGGCATCGCTAGGTTGTGGACGTGGGAAGGGGAAGAAGGAGGCTGAGATTTGAATCTCTTTTGGGAGCCTGGATGGTGGTAGTGGATGTCACAAAGGCAGATGAGAAAGCAGAGTCGCTGTGGGGGGGTTGTGCTTACGAGGAATAAAGGTGAGGAGTCTGAAAGGCTTCCAAGGGGTCAAGGATATGAGATAGGTGTCGAAGCATCTCCACGAAGGAAGTCAGATGTCAGTGAGCTCAGAGCAGGACACTTTATCTTTCTTTGGACTCATCAGTGTTTCATGGTGACTCTTGGTCAGACCTGTGTTGTTCCTTCAGGCTGGTAGGTCAGCTGAGGTTAAAATGGATCAGCCTGGGGCACTGCTAGGCCTGGGGTGGGGAGTTCAGTGTAGCTGGGCTTCGAATGTGGGTGAGGTTAACACAGCCTGTTTGTGACTGCTTGTAGGACACCGTGTGTGGCGGTGACGTCGCAGAGGACCAAGGGTCCGTGAGGTACTGACGTTAGGTTTGGGAGGGTGAGTGTGACACAGGCGGCAGGGCCAGGTGGGGAGAACCACAAAGGGACCCTGGTGGTCCGTGGTGCTAGGAAGCTTGGGTTTCTGGGGCACGATGGGGCCAAATAGGCTGGTGATTCCATTTGCAAAATACTACGTGGGTTCCACGTGCACAGTGGTGTGCTGGGAAGCCATGGAATTACCTGCAGAGCGGGCTGGTGGGTCTCAGGAACTGAGTTGCAGAAGTGGAGGGACCAGATCTGTAGAGGTTCAGATCAAGAACAGTGTGCAGGCGAGGAGGAGTGTGAGTGTTTGACCCCAAGTCTTGGGATGGGGTGCTTATGGGAGAGAGAAGCTCAAGTTGTGTTGTCTGGGAGGCAAGATCTGGGGGACTCCGCATAATTTACTGGTGAGAGAGAGAGAGCCCCATTGCAGTGCCAGAGCCTAGGGGGGCTTTTCTGCACCCTCCCCCACTTGTTTTCCCGAGTTCTGGACACAGTGATCAGTGGCAGTGACGAGAGACAGGCACCAGTGCCACCAGACCTTGTATCTCTTCCACATGGGGAAGTTGGGGTGGAGGGCAAGGAGGAGACGGAAGTGGGGGTGGGGGCCGTACTGAAGATCCTGGAGAGAGAAGCTGCACAATGGTTGAACTGTCCCCATTCTGGCAGGGGCTTTTGGTTTTTACAGACGTGGCCATACATTTCTCCCGGGAGGAGTGGGGGCTCCTTGATGAGGCTCAGAGACGCCTGTACCACGATGTGATGCTGGAGAACTTGGCACTTCTGTCGTCACTAGGTAAGGCCCTCTCCCCTGCTGCAGTGTTGGGGGCTGGGCGCTGGTTTCCCCTTTCCCAGGGGGTAGCTCTGTCATTCCCACGCCCACCTCACGGTCACTACTTCCCTTCTGGTTTCCTAGCACACACTTACGGGAGCCAGGTCTGGGCCCAGTGCACTTCTGCTCCAAGTTTGTCTGAGAAATCCCAGTGGTCTTGCTTGCCGTTGGTCAGGTTATTCTGTCCAGCCCCTGTGCTCCGTGCCTTCTTCCTCCTTGCTGACATTTCTTGGGGCATGCCTGTGCCAGAAATTTCAGCCACGGCTGTAGTCTCTGTTTGTAGAGACCGCTGGTTCTGCAAGCCCCTTCTTTGAAGTTCTTTTGGTTTTAGAATGTGGGCTGTTGTGAGAGGGATCACTCTGGAGGCATGCTTCCCACTCCCTTTTCCTGTGTTTCACCTAGGTTGGCCCATTCCAGGTCCCATGTGAGTGCTCATCTTGAAGAAGTGGGAGGGGCCTGGGTGCCTGACAGCGTGGACATTACTCCATCAATGGCAACAGGAGATGGCCCTGGGGCTCGGGAGCTGGGAATGGGTCTGTTGTCAGAGCTGGGTTCACCATTGTATGACGCCAGGGACAGTGGTCATACCTCATTTCTACCTCTTCTTTCCTGTCATCATTTCCAATCTTGCATTCCCCGGCTCCCCCACCTTTGTGGCTTCCCTCTGTCATCCTTTCCCTTTTGCTCCCTTTGCAGTACACTTGACATATGATCTATCCTAAGGTATTGTAATGGTATATATTTTTTTAATATTTTATTTATTTATTTGACAGAGAGAGAGACAGCGAGAGCAGGAACACAAGCAGGGGGAGTGGGAGAGGGAGAAGCAGGCTTCCCGCTGAGCAGGGAGCCTGATGCGGGGCTCAATCCCAGGACCCTGGGATGATGACCTGAGCCGAAGGCAGATGCCTAATGACTGAGCCACCCAGGCGCCCCTGTGATGGCGTATTTTTAAATAGTCTCTGAACACCAGCTGTTGTGTTGCAATCACACATTTATGCATCTGGACCCAGTCTTGCATCAGTGCTCACCGGTCGCCAGCAGCTCTGGCCTTGTTGAAAGTCGTTTGCAGAGGAGGGAGTTGGGGAGCCCGCCTCTCCTCCCTGCACTTCCCCTTTCCTCGTGTCCTTCCCCAGAGTCAGGGCTCTCCCATCACGGGAGCATGCCAGGCTGAGCCCTGCACAGCAGTCCTTCCTCTCACTGTCTCGGGTCCCCCTCGCCCGTCAGCAGTCATGTGGCCTCGTCCGTGGGTGTGTCTGGCACACATTCCCGATGGGGCCGCCTCCTCCCAACGAAGTCAGCAGGCACTTCACCAGCATTTCTCTGCTTACAGGTTGCTGGCATGGAGCCCAGGATGAGGAGGCCCCTTCAGAGCAAGATGTTTCTGTAGGAGGGTCACAGGTTAGGACCCCAAAGCCAGGCCCATCCATCCAGAAGTCCCAGCCCTGTGAGACGTGTAGCTTGCTCTTGAAAGACCTTTTGCACTTGGCTGAGCATGATGGAACACACCCTGAGCGAGGCTTGCACACTTGTGGGGGAAAGCATTTCCAGCACCAAAAGCATCAAATTAGAGAGAAACTTTTCAGAAGTGATGAGGGGAGGCCTTCATTTGTGAAGAGCTGCAGAGGTCACATGACAGAGACGACCTTTACATGCAGGGAAGGTGGGAAGGACTGCCCAGCCAGCTCAGGCCTTCTCCAACCACAGGTTCCTCATGTTGTAGGAAAGCCACACTGGGACATGGCAGGTGGAGAGGCCTTTCAGAATGAACAGAATTATTATTATTATCCCAATGTGGGAATACCTGCAGTCATAAACATATACTTGTTGACCATGAGAAAATCCACACTGGAGAAAAGCTTTATGAATACAGGGAATATGGGAAGGCCTTCCTTAGAAAGTCCCACCTCCATCAGCACCAGAAGGGCCATGATGAGAACCCAGAACGTGGAGGATTCTTTACACAGATACCTGGCCTCAGTGACCACCAGGGGTATTCACACCAGGCCAAGGCCTTTTGAGTGCAACCAATGTGGGAAGGGTTTCCTTAGACTCTCCCAACTTGTTGGTCACCAGAAAATCCACACAGGAGAAAGACCTTATGGTTGTAGTGAATGTGGACATTTTTTTAGGAATCGCTCTACGCTCATTAGACATCAGAGAGTTCACACTGGCGAAAGGCCATATGAGTGCAGTGAATGTGGAAAAGCTTTCACCCGCAAACATAAACTTGTTGAGCATCAGAAAATCCACAGTGGTGAAAAGCCTTATGAGTGCAGTGAATGTGGGAAAGCCTTCAGCCGCAAAGACAAAGTTGTTGAACACCAGAAAATCCACACTGGAGAGAGACCTTATAAGTGCAGTGAATGTGGAAAAGCTTTCAGCCGCAAACATAAACTTGTTGAGCACCAGAAAATCCACACTGGAGTAAGGGCTTATGAGTGCAGAGAATGTGGGAAATCCTTTATGGACAGCTCTTCACTCATTATTCATCAGAGAGTTCACACTGGAGAAAGGCCTTATGAGTGTGACAAATGTGGGAAATTCTTTAGGTACCGCTTCACGCTCATTAGACACCAGAGAACTCACACTGGAGAAAGGCCTGATGAGTGCAGCAATGTAGGAAATCCTTTAGTTGCAACTCCACACTCATTAGACGTCAGACAAATCACAGTAGAGAAAGGCCTTATTACTGCAGCAAATGTGGGAAGTTTTTGTGGTACAACTCCGGTCTCATTACACAACAGAGAGTTCACACTGATGTGAGAGTCCTTATGAGAACAGCGAGTATGGGGACATCTTTACTTACAACTCTGGCCTCGTTAAACACTGTCAAATTTGCAACAATAGAGAGATGCCTTATGAGTGCAGGGAATGTGGGAGAGTCTGTTGATTTATGTCATTTTACACTAATTTGCATTTTTTTAGTATTTATACTTGGAATCCTACAGTCTACTTTTGCATGGCTGCTTTTTATTCTGTTTTTACATAAATGGAATCCTAAAGTATATCCTTGCATAGGTATTTTGAGATTTATCCCTATTGTGTTCATTCCTTTTTATTGCTGAGTGGTATTCCATTGGGTGTATATATATATATATTTTTAAAGATTTTATTTATTTATTCATGAGAGACAGAGAGAGAGAGAGAGAGGCAGAGGGAGAAGCAGGCTCCCAAGGAGCAGGAAGCCCAATGCGGGACTCGATCCCAGGACCCTGAGATCATGACCTGAGCCGAAGGCAGACGCTTAACCATCTGAGCCACCCAGGCGCCCCCCATTGGGTGTATATTAACACAATGTGTTTACCTATTAATGGACATGTAGGTTGTTTCTAGTGTTGTTACCAGAACAACAACTATTATAAGTAAATACCTGAGAATAGAGTGTTGCTCATAGATGAATGTTTAACTTTTTAAGAATTGGCCAAATTGATTTCCAATGTGAATGTGCCACTTTATACTCCTACCAGCTGTATATAAGAGTTCCACTTGGAACACATCATTGTCAATAATAGGTATAGTCTGTCTTTTTTAAGTTAAAATAAGTGTGTCATAGTCTTATTTTAATATCTGCATTTCTTTTTTTTCTTTTTTTTTTCTCTTTTTTTTTTTTTAAAGATTTTATTTATTTGAGAGAGAGGGAATGAGAGACAGAGAGCATGAGAGGGAGGAGGGTCAGAGGGAGAAGCAGACCCCCCGCTGAGCAGGGAGCCTGATGCGGGACTCGATCCTGGGACTCCAGGATCATGACCTGAGCCGAAGGCAGTCGCTTAACCAACTGAGCCACCCAGGCACCCTTAATATCTGCATTTCTGTAATAACTAGTGATATTGAGTATTTTTTATGTGCTAAGCAAGACTGTATTATATATAAACAACAAAAGGACTTAAGGGTAGACAGTGACTGAGCAAAGAGTAAAGTAAGAAAGTAAAGTTTAAGCTAAGTCACTCAAATTTAAGTTCAGCTGCATATGAAGTGATTGCCAAAAAACTTTATGAACCGTCTGCCTTCTACACAAATGTCCAAGGCATTTGTTCTAGAATTTTCTTACTTGACTACTTTTTTTTTTTAGTGTCTTCAAGGTATGTTTTTGTAACATAAAATTTCTTTTTTTTTTTAAGATTTATTTATTTATTTATTTGAGAGGGAGAATGAGAGAGAGCATGAGAGGGAGGAGGGTCAGAGGGAGAAGCAGACTCCCTGTGGAGCAGGAAGCCCGATGCGGGACTCGATCCCGGGACTCCAGGATCATGACCTGAGCCGAAGGCAGTCGCTTAACCAACTGAGCCACCCAGGCGCCCCGTAACATAAAATTTCTTAGAAACGTTTTAAATAGTTAATCATTTTAATAGTGATAAAAATAAATAATATAAAATTTGCTATTTTAATCACTTCTAAGTATTTGGTTCTGTTGCATATTAGAATTATCCAGAAAAACAGAACCAAACTAGTGTATGTCTGTCCATATATGTAGTATATAGAGAGATTTATTTTAAAGTATCGGGTGACACGATTATGTTGGCTTAGCAAGTCCAAATCTTCAGGGTAACTTGGCAGACTGGAGACTCAGGTAAGAAATCGCAGGGCAAGGGGCGCCTGGGTGGCTCAGTCATTAAGCGTCTGCCTTCGGCTCAGGTCATGATCCCAGGGTCCTGGGATCGAGCCCCGCATCGGGCTCCCTGCTCTGCGGGAAGCCTGCTTCTCCCTCTCCCACTCCCCCTGCTTGTGTTCCCTCTCTCACTGTGTCTCTCTCTGTCAAATAAATAAATAAAATCTTAAAAAAAAAAAAAAAAAGAAGAATTGCAGGGCAAGCCCAAAGCAGTCAGCAGACAAAAATTCCTTCTAGTTTATGCAGGTTACTGCTTTTCTATTAATGCCTTTGAGTGGTTGAAGCCTACCCTCATTACGGAGGGTAATCTGCTTTACTCAGAGTCTACTGATTTAAATGTTAATTCAAAAAGCATTTGAAAGAAACATCCGGAATAATGTCTGACCAAATATCTGGATGCCATGGTCTAGCCTAGTAGACCCACAAAATCAACCATCACATGTATTATTAAGTACATCACCATCCATCTTCAGAACTTTTTCATGTTCCCTGAACATATTTTTGTATCATTAAACACGTTCTTCCCAATTTCACTCCCCCCAACACCCAGAAACTACCATTCTACTTTGTATCTCTATTGTCTATGAATTTGACTACTCTAGAAACCTCATATAGGAGAAATCATGCATTTGTCCTTTTGTGACTTACTTCATTTAGCACAATAGTTTCATCTTGGACATTTTTATTATGAATACATCACATAGAAAAAAAAGATCTTGAATTAAAGTTTATCACTTCATTTTTCTAGACTTACATCCACTGGTTTTGGATCAAAATTCATGGCTCAGTCCCATTTTCTAAAGTGATCTATTTTTTTCTTGTTGTCAGCTTGCAAGATTTTCTTTATTCTGTGATACTTTATTTTAATACGACAGACTATAGAAATGATCCCTGAAAGTACAGTAGGTTATGGGTTATTCTTTTATAAGTATTTGTCTCACTAAATTTTCCTTATTCACAGATTCTGTGTTCATGTCCCTTATTTTTTTAAATGTTTTTAGATTTTTAAAGCATCCTGTGATCTGAACTTACAGCATTTTAATTCATAGCTAGTTGTATTCATTGTTATTCATCCCACCTACTCTATTTTTCACATATTTTGTATTTTATAGTTATTTTGAGTTGAAATCCTCATTACTTACATGACTCTGCTGTTGTCCTTTCCAGTTTTTAATAAAATTTATATGCATGCTTTATAACTTTTAATCAAACTATTTTAAATTTATACAGTAAACTTTACAATGCTTTTACTTTTCAGGTACCTAAAATACTTGCTATGAGGTCATGGCCCACTAGGGGGTATCTGCCCAGCCATATGCTGAGGATGGGATTGAGTGTCGCCACGCACTGAAAATAAAACACTCAAGACTTAATACTGAGCAGACATGCAGGACTGCCTCCAGAGGAGAAAAGCAGCTGCACAGGCTTAAACATGGTTTTTATTGAAAATCTTATCAGACATATTCATCAAAGAGCTTCAAAGCAGGGAAGGCTTAGAACAAAGGGGAGCTACTACTTTTAAACATTAACTACTAACTCATCCATAGGATATGTGCAGTTATTCAGAAAGTACGTATAGAAAAAAAGATTGGTTATAATTACCCCTGCCCTCCTCAGCCTTGTAAGGGTCATGAGAGCTTTGTCTCAAATACCATCGCGTGAGACGGGTTGAGGCAAAGCTGATGCTGAGGTTTCAGCAAATGCCTTGGACTCATGCCCAGAAGTCAAATCATATTTTCTTTCTTTTTTTTTTTTAAAGATTTTACTTATTTGACAGAGAGAGACACAGCGAGAGAGGGAACACAAGCAGGGGGCGTGGGAGAGGGAGAAGCAGGCTTCCCACCGAGCAGGGAGCCCGATGCGGACCTGATCCCAGGATTCCGGATCACGATCCGAGCTGAAGGCAGATGCTCAACGACTGAGCCACCCAAGCGCCCCTCAAATCATATTTTCTAAAAACTCCACAATTGAGTTCAGGCCTTAGTTTTTGCCCCTTGAGTACGGTTGAAGCTGGCAAGAAACTCCTCACAACCCAACACTGCCGGTAACAACACCCACTTCTATCTTCCACTTCCAGATAGAACTTTCTCTTTTTTTTCAATTTTTGAAAATTTTAATTCCAGTGTAGTTAACATACAGTGTTGTACTAGTTTTGGGTGTACGATACAGCATTTCAACAATTGAGGCAGAACTTTCTCTGAATATTTGGAGACTGATAAACATAAATGCAAAAATCCGCGAAGAAATGCTAGCAAACCACATTCAGCAGCACCTTAAAAGTTTTACACTATGATTAAATTGGATTTATCCCTGGGATACAAGGATGACTCAATTTATGCAAATGTAATACTCCACATTAACAAAGGATAAAAATCATATAATCTCAATAAATGCAGAAAGTATTTGACAAACTTCAACATCCTTTTATGATAAAAAGTTTGTAACAAATTAAGTAGAGGAATATACCTTAACATAATAAAAGGCATATACGAAAAGCACATAGCTAACATCATACTCAACGTTGAAAAGCCAAAATCTTTTCCTTTAAGATTATAAACAAGGGTGGGGCACCTGGGGGGCTCAGTTGGTTAAGCGGCTGCCTTCGGCTCAGGTCATGATCCTGGGGTCCTGGGATGGAGCCCCACGTCTGGCTCCCTGCTCAGCGGAGAGCCTGCTTCTCCCTCTCCCTCTGCCTGCCACTCTGCCTACTTGGGCTCTCTATCTCTCTGTCAAATAAATAAATAAAATCTTTAAAAATAAAAAAGATTATAGGGACGCCTGGGTGGCTCAGTTGGTTAAGCAACTGCCTTTGGCTCAGGTCATGATCCTGGAGTCCCCGGATCGAGTCCCACATCGGGCTCCCTGCCCGGCAGGGAGTCTGCTTCTCCCTCTGACCCTCCCCCCTCTCATGCTTTCTCTCTCTCAAACAAATAAATAAAAAATAAATAAATAAAATAAAAAAGATTATAAACAAGGGTGCCCACTCTCTCCACTTTTATTCAACATAGTACTGGAAGTCCTAGCCAGAGCAGTTGGGTGAGAAAAAGAATTGAAAAGCATCCAAAATGGAAAGGAAAAAATAATGTCTCTGTCTGCAGATGAACTGATCTTATCTGTAGAAAACTTGAAAGGCTGGGGCGCCTGGGTGGCTCAGTTGTTAAATGTCTGCCTTCGGCTCAGGTCATGATCCCGGGGTCCTGGGATCGAGCCCCGCATCGGGCTCCCTCCTCGGCGGGAGGCCTGCTTCTCCCTCTCCCTCTCCCACTCCCCCTTCTTGTGTTCCTGCTCTCACTATCTCTCTCTGTCAAATAAATAAATAAAATCTTTTAAAAAAGGAAAAAAAACTTGAAAGGCTGTACCAAAACAAACTGTAAAAACTAGTAAGTGAATTCAGTAAAGTTTCAGAATACAAAATCAACATACAAAAATCAGTTTTGCATTTCTACACACTAACAAATTATCTGGAAAAGACATTAATAAAACAATCTGACAATAGCAACAAAAAGAATAAAATACTTAAGAATAAATGTAACCAAGGAAGTGAGAGATCCGAACACTGAAAGCTATAAAACATTGATGAGAAAAATCAAAGACACAAATAAGTGGGAAGATATCTCATGTTCATTGGTCGGAAGAATTAATAATGTTAAAATGTCCGTTCTACCCAAGGTAATCTACAGATTGAATGCAATCCCTATCAAAATTACAATGACACTTTTCACAGAAATAGGAAAAAAATCTAAAATTTATATGGAACTACAAGAGACACTGAATAGCTCAATCTGGAGCAAGGAGAACAAAGCTGGAGGCATCAAACTTCCTGTCTTCAAACTACACTACAAAGTTACATTAATGAAACCAATATGGTTCTGGCATCAAAACAGACACATAGACCAACGGAAGAGAGGAGAGAGCCCAGAAATAAACCTGCACATACAAAGTCAACTAATTTTTGACAAAGGAATCAGGAATATACAATGGGGGAAAGGATGGCCTCTTTAATAAATGGTGTTGGAAAAACTGGATCTCCCCATGCAAAAGAATTAAATTGGACCCATATCTTGCACCATACACGAAATCAACTAAAGATGAATTAAAAGACTTAGGGCGCCTGGGTGGCTCAGTTGGTTAAGCGACTGCCTTCGGCTCAGGTCATGATCCCGGGGTCCGGGGATGGAGTCCCACATCGGGCTCCCTGCTCGGCGGGGAGTCTGCTTCTCCCTCTGACCCTCCTCCCTCTCATGTTCCCTGTCTCTCATTCTCTCTCTCTCAAATAAATAAAATCTTTTAAAAAAAAAATTAAAAGACTTAAAGACCTGAAACAGTAAAGCTAGAAGAAAACAAAGGGAAAGCTCCCTGACGTTGGTATTAGAAATAATTTTTAATTAATAGCAAAGCACAGGAAATAAAAATAAACAAGTGGGACTACATCAAACTAAAAAGTTTCTGCACAGCAAAGGAAACAACAAAATGAAAAGGCAAGGAGGTTATGCTATCTACTTTTCGTGTGTATCGAATAGCAAATACCAAAATGCATATGTCAATTTGTGGTGAGTTTTCTGAAGAGTTGGCATTAGATGATAAAACTTCCTTTCAAATGTATTTGTGTGGTATGCAATTGTTCACTCAATATTGAAAATGATGAGTAGTCAAGTTCCCAGTTCTCTCAGGAGTTTTCCCAGGTGTAGTCTAAAACCAGCTCCTGTATGCAGAGGGTGGGGAGAGACCAAAGAGAGAGGCCAATCCAGACTGGTAGGTGCTGTTTTAATAAGCAAAGGGAACTTACGTACGAGGCTTGTCTTGGGTAGCTGCAAGACGAATGGATCCCTGCACCGCTTGCCAAATCTTATAAGTTTATAAAGAGGCCTTACTTGGGTTCAGTCACATACACTGTGCAGGTGTTCTCAACACCACATCATGATCTCAAGGCTGTGTCCTTGGAGCAGTCTCTGGGAGTGAGAAAGACAAGCAGGACCCACATTCCAAGGACGGGGGAGGGGGTGAGGAGCCTCGGAGTGCCTGGGGTCTAGCTCACAGGTCAACTGGCAGTCACATCTTTTTGGTGACGTTTTCCAACAGATATAAACCAATATATACTAACCGTTAAACTTGAGAAATGTAGGATTTCCTTTAATAGCAAAGAAAATGATTAAAATAACATTTTATGTTACCTACTGAAACTTTATGCCTGTTGATTAGTAGCTTCTCATTTCCCCCTCCCTCCAGCTCCTGATCACCATTCCAGTCTATTTTATGAACTTGACTATTTTAGATTCCTCATCATCTAAGTGGAATCATGCAGTACTTGTCTTTATACTGTGTCTGGCTTATTTCACTTGGCATCATCTCCTCAGGGTCTATCGCGTTGTCATGTATTGTAAAATTTCCTTTTTATTTTATTTTTTTAAAGATTTTATTTATTTATTTGACAGAGACATAGCGAGAGAGGGAACACAAGCAGGGGGAGTGGGAGAAGGAGAAGCAAGCTTCCTGCTGAGCAGGGAGCCCGATGCAGGGCTTGATCCCAGGACCCTGGGATCATGACCTGAGCCAAAGGCAGCCACTTAACGACTGAGCCACCCAGGTGCCCCTAAAATTTCCTTTTTAAAGATTGAATATTTTGTTATTTGTATATATCATGTTTTCATCATCCATTCATCTGTTGTTTTTTTTTTTTAAAGATTTTATTTATTTATTTGAGAGAGAGAGAATGAGAGACAGAGAGCATGAGAGGGAGGAGGGTCAGAGGGAGAAGCAGACTCCCTGCCGAGCAGGGAGCCCGATGCGGGACTCGATCCAGGGACTCCAGGATCATGACCTGAGCCGAAGGCAGTCGCTTAACCAACTGAGCCACCCAGGCGCCCCTCCATTCATCTGTTGATGGGCACTTAGTTTGTTTCCACATCTTAGCTATCACGAATAGTGCTGCAGTGAACATGGAACTGCTAGTATCTCTTCTAGGTCCTTTTGGGTGTATACCTGGAAATGGGATTACTGGATCATATGGTAGTTCTAGTTTTACTTTTTGTGAGGAATGTCCATGTTATGCTCCATAGCAGCTCTACCATTTTGCATTCCCACCAACGGTGTGAAAGGGTTCCAGTTTCTCACATCATTGGCAAGACTTGTGTTTTGCTTTTTTGGTAATAGTTGTCCTGTCGGGTGTGAGGTGATATCTCATTGCGGTTTTGATTTGCAT